AAAGTATTCTCTTCCTCACACTGTATCACCAAGGCCATTCATTGTTCAGTGGTATTTTAGGTAGAGGCAAGAACTGCTTACATTTTACTGTTGGTGCTGCCTAGTCGTTGCTTTAGCCTTATTTGTTTGCACAGGTGGCTGAGGATCTGATGCACCAGTTGGACGTGTCCCAGGATAGTCTGGTAACGGGAGCCTACATGGATCTGATCCTGAAGAAACAAACTGAGTCCTAGCACCAACCCTCACCAAAACTAAGGACATGAGGGATTTTTTTTTTTTTTTTAAATCAGTAAACTGACCGAACTGACTGTTAAGAACAGTAATAATGTGTATTGTCATTGTTTGACATCTGCTGCTGTAGAACGTATTGTTTTTTTTTAATAAACATGTAAAAGTTCAGATTAGTTTCGAGTGTCCTGACATTTCAGCATACATTGTCAGAATTGCATATTGGTCACTTAGATTGATTGTTGCTGTATATTTTGTAGTTAAGGTTGCATCATAAGACTACTATACCTAGTACCTATATAGATTTGATCGTTTTAGTTCTTGCTTTAAACACGAGTGCATACTCTAAAAGAAAAGCACATTTAAAACAGAACAGGCCTGCAAACAAACAAACAAACAAACAACAAAAATGAACTGTCTCTGACCACAGCAAAAAGATATTAAGAAAACACAGCAAGAAGCAGCAAAAACAGACCTGGTGTTCAACAGGGACCCAAAACTAAGGACATGAGGGATTTTTTTTTTTTTTTTAAATCAGTAAACTGACCGAACTGACTGTTAAGAACAGTAATAATGTGTATTGTCATTGTTTGACATCTGCTGCTGTAGAACGTGTTGGTTTTTTTTAATAAACATGTAAAAGTTCAGATTAGTTTCGAGTGTCCTGACATTTCAGCATACATTGTCAGAATTGCATATTGGTCACTTAGATTGATTGTTGCTGTATATTTTGTAGTTAAGGTTGCATCATAAGACTACTATACCTAGTACCTATATAGATTTGATCGTTTTAGTTCTTGCTTTAAACACGAGTGCATACTCTAAAAGAAAAGCACATTTAAAACAGAACAGGCCTGCAAACAAACAAACAAACAAACAACAAAAATGAACTGTCTCTGACCACAGCAAAAAGATATTAAGAAAACACAGCAAGAAGCAGCAAAAACAGACCTGGTGTTCAACAGGGACCAGCGACAACTACGACCCAACAAACACACAGTGAGAGAGAAAGGAATATATGTACCAAGGGCACCAGGTGAGATGAATGAGGCTAATCAGAGAAGCACTGGACACAGGTAAGTGTGCCCAAGAGGACAGATCAGGAACTGCATTGTGCAGTAGTTCATTTATTATAGTAAACCATGAATTCATTTCAATTTAAATCACACATCCTAGACAGATGAGTTCAAAATATGTCAAATGTTTAACTTTGGTTACATTTTTTCCAACTTTTATCATCATTAAGCTCCATGGGAAAAACACAGTTTTAAGTAAAATTCAAAAACGATTACCTTTAGTTCACAAACACCTACTGAAACAATTAAAAACACTGACATTTGAATATTTAATTTACAAAATTAATTAATTAATTAATCACTTCTGATATATAGTGATTTTTTTTATTCCTAGAACTGTATGTGTATGTTCTTCTACCATCCAGCAGAAGGTGCTATAACGCAGTTTCTCTGCTCGCAAAAGTTGGCTGCAAAATGTCTCAGAAATAATGGAAAGGAACATAAATGTCTACAAAGGCATTTCGATTTTTTTTTTTAAAAAACAAAACGTTTTTTTAATTAAAATATTACGTTTTTTTTTTTTTAAAAACGTTTTTTTAATTAAAATATTACCTGCCCTGAAATATAGCTAAATTTAAATATATTAATCATAATTCCATTAAATTGCTTAAAAAATAATGACAACAGAAAACATTTTAAATTAAACATTGAAGGAATTTGGATGAATTTGTGTGATTTATTGGTGTTTAAAATGAGGGAATTGTTTAGATGAGCCAATGATTATTTGTGCAAATATTCACTGATCACAGAACAGCAGGTTCTGTTGGATTTTGTTTTTTCTACATAAAACTAACAGTTTCATGATGACTGTGTTGTTTTTCCCCTGAAATTGTGTGGAGCGTTCACAGCTGAGTTGACAATGGGATAAAACAGGGCAGATGGCAGGACCAGATTTTGGCATCTCCACAATGTCACAGTCCAGCCAGGCGGTGGCACTATAAGGAGTTAGATTAACAATTTAGAAGCCCAGTGTTGTGACAGACACACTCCTTTCCAACACTAGACTGAAATGTATGTACCACACATTCAGTGTCAATCAAAAAAATCAGGGACTTTAGTTCACAGGGAAACAGGAGCTGCTGGTCCACTGCTGCCTCCTGTGGTCAGTGAAGTGATAAAATGACACATTTGAACCTAGTGATGGGGCAACAGTGGAATGAAAACTATCGTGATCTCAAATCTGATTTACTTTACGGACAAGAATAATAAACTTCCCGTCAGTCAAATGTTAGGGATCTTCAATAGTAGCTTTTATATACGATATTGTCCAAATACTAAATTTCCGATTCTGATATTAGGCAACGATATATGTACGTTGTTTGGGTTAAAGGCAGAGGCATTGTATCACAATGATAATAATTAACTTTCACCTTTACTTTCACTTTTACTTCAATGCTATCTTTAGGCCACACCATCTGGACGAAACCCAGTCATTGTGTTATCAGGTTTTCATTATCGAAGGAAAAACCAAAAACGGTTCTTACCGATAATACATAATTATGCTAGTATTGCTTTGTTGACGATATTATCTCACATTCACAGTCAATTTTTAAAAAGACATTTATTCTAGTGTATGTCTCAATGAACTGTACTATTGTGTCTTGGCAAAAAGATCAATGGTACGTCTTAGTACTGACCCTAGACAGTGGTAGTACTTTGGGAGTGGACGAGCTACATACAGTATCTTGATACTATACGCAGTGCCAGGTGCTAGTTTCCGTCGCATAAACAACCATAGTTGATGGTATTTCCTTTGGGTCCTGGTACTACTACTACTACTACTACTACTACTACTACTACTACTACTACTACTACTACTACGTCTGATTCTGACCATATTTGCTGGTTTGAATTCTTGCGTCTCCTCCTTGATCCAGTACCACTTACATTAGTACCATTTTACTGACTATTTTCCTGGACTAGATTTTGAGAAGTACCATACATGTAGTTCTTAGTACTCTACTTGGTTCCTGGTCCTGGTTCTAGTAGTTGTGGAGAAATACTTCCAGCTTCTTTACCCACTTTGTGTCACTAGTGATAGAAGAACAAAAGTACTGTAGTTTCCGGCACGTACAGTACTACGATTTGTTCGCGTGTACCATCGTCGTTAGAATGTACGAACTCTTTGACGACATCGCTTGACGACGTGACCCCACGCCACGGCCAAAGACCCACGGCCACTCGGAGACACACGCGTGCACGTGAGTGAAATCCCTTGACTGAGTCACGTGACTCAGCCGCTGCGTGCTCTCTGATTGGTCGACTCCATACAAAGCGAATGTCCGTGAGCCACCGTCCAGACATCGGGCCGCTGCGATCTGTGGACGTCGACGACAACGACAATAAAGACGCCGATGATGTGTAGTTGTCAAATCCCCACTTTTCCTCTCTTCGCGCCGTTGCCATGGTTACAGGGCCGCTCCTCCACTCCCACGCTCCCTCCTCCTCCCTCCTCTCTCTCACCCTGTCCGTATCTACCTCTCTTGCTCATATGTGAGGGACAAGGAAGGAGAGAGGTGTGTTCTCTAACCCACGCATTGGAGTGGGAGACAACACACACACACACACACACACACACACACACACTGATACACTTGTACATACACGTTATGTTAGCAGTGTGTGGGCTGAAAGCGACCAGCCTTCCACTCATACTGCCTCCCTCTCTCTCTCTCTCTCTCTCTCTCCCCCTCTGTCTCTGCTACACCTCCTTCTCTTTCTCTCCCTCCTCCTCTTCTTTTTTCCTTCTCTCCATCCTCCATCGTCTCTTCCTCTCCTTTTTCTTTCACCATCAGTCCTCTCCATCAGTTCTTTTTATTTCACTTCATCATCATCATGGAGAACAAGTCGCTGATCTCCCTGGGTGAGTCTCTGCACCCTTCACGCTCTCGCTCTCTCTCTCTCTGTGTGTGTGTGTGTGTGTGTGTGCGGGTTGCCTTTTTTGGAATCTTCCTCCGGGTAAGGTGTAGTTGTCCGCTGACGATCCGAGTGAGGCAGAACATTAAAGTTAGGGTCGACGTGAGCCGTGGTCAAATCAACACATTTGCAGTTATTTGTCTGGTTGTGTGTGTGTGTGTTTGGGTGTGTGTGTGTGTTTGGGTGTGTGTGTGTGTTTGTGTGTGTGTGTGTTTGGGTGTGTGTGTGTGTTTGTGTGTGTGTGTGTTTGTGTGTGTGTGTGTTTGTGTGTGTGTGTGTTTGGGTGTGTGTGTGTGTTAAACCTCCTAACTTTATTCCTCTATGCTCCCATTTTTTTTCATTTTCCTCTTCCTTCCATGTCCATCCTAATCGTACGTCTGCTTCCGTCCCGACCCTTGTCTCCGTGTCTCCCCCTGAATTACTTTCCATTTTTTATCCTCCTTTTTTTCCTTTCCCTCCCCTTCCCCACCCTTCCAAAGCCCTGTAATCCTTCTCGTTTCTTGCCTCTTGCCTCCTTGACATCCTTTGCTTCTCACTTCCCTCTTCTTCTTTGCCCCCTCCTCCTTTTTTATCCCTTGCATGAAATTTTTCCACTCCTGTGGTTTGAACTTTTTCCCTTTTATCGTTTCTCCTCCTCTCCCTTTTCTCTCCCGTTTGTAAGATTTCTTTTTGTTCCATTTCCCCGTTCACTGTATCATCTCCAAACCGTTTCATTAATGTTTCTATTGTATTTCCTCCTCTTCCTCACTTCCCTCTCCTCTCTTATATTCTAACGCTCTTCTCTCCTATTTTAGTCTTTTGACCTCATTTTGACCAAAAAACACGAATGTATCGATACATTTCCCACACTCCTCCTCTTCTTTTGCTATCCCTCTCTCTGCATTATACACACACACACACATATATATATATATTCAATATCTATTCTGAACTTATTTTCCTCGTATCCTCCCATCCTTATCTTGCCTCCTTTCCTTATTTCCTGTTCGTCTCCTCCAGCATCTCTCACCTGCCGTCCTCTGTGTAACATAAGAGCAGCAGCAGCAGCAGCAGCAGTGTGTGTGTGTGTGTGTGTGTTTGTGTGTGTGTGTCATAAAAAAAACTCTGATCTGTTTCCTCCTCTGTCCTCAGCACAGAAACCAAAATAAAAGTTAATCCAAACTGTAACAACACAGATACTGAAACACATGAACCAAATCCACCGTTTTCGACACCGAGCAGGTTTTTACCGTGTACGATACGTTACGAGCAGGTTTTTACCGTGTACGATACGTTAAGCGTTAGCCGCCTAAGTTTGCGTTCATTCCGACCTCGTTCGTTCATGAAAACTCTATTCTAATCTCTGTTTGCTCTAACCTTACGTCTTGTTTGTTCATACCTGTGACACAGTGACCTTGGCCGTTGTTCGATCGAACACTGCCAAGGTCTGGGTCGTTCGTGTTAGCTTCAGCTCGTGTTAGCACCGGGCTACAGAAATGCACATACTGTACACCGTGTACAGGTGTTTTCAAACACTGCAACGAACGGTTGACGTTTTTGCGACCATGTTGTAAACAACTGATCGTGACTATCCCTTCTTTGTACTTCCTGTTTTACGTTCGTGGCAGAGTGCACATTTTACCTGGATCATGCTACGCTAGTCCTTTAGTTATCGCAGCCTCATTCATTCAAACTCAGCATCGTGTTTCACGCAAAACTCGTCTCTCTCTAAATTCAACCTTAGCATTAGCTCGTTTGTACCTCATTTTTACAGCTAATTTGTCTAAACTAAATGATCAAACTTGAACATTCTCGATTGGTAGATTCTAAAAAAAATTTCAAACCTGGTGACGGCTCTTGACTCTCATTGGCTATAACATTGTCCATTGTGATTTTTAAGGCCTCCTGTCCTCGTTGCACCAAACAAAAATCGTGCAAAATTACAATTCCAAATTAATGAACTAACACCAAGCAACATCATAGTTTATAAAATTACAAAAAATAAAAATCAAACTGCAGTTGTGCCATCATCACTTTGAACCTTGACAATGTCAAACCTCCTGTTTGTCTCCTCCCACCTGTCCCCACCTGTCAAAACGTCCCACACCTTGAGAAGCACTGTTCTGGCCTTTGATGTCATCCATTGTTGCCATGTCTTTCTTCAGTTCGTCACTCAAACATGTTAACCTTGTAGCATCTAACCTTCACGTAAACACAACGTATCGCTCCGTCTCAGCGCAGTCGTTGTTTTTAAATGTGAAGAGAAGAAGTTTGAACAGTGACAATTCCATTTAGTCGGCTTATCCGTCCTAGAGATGTGAGAAAGTTGACAACATTTTCAAGGGGTTCGCGTGTGTGTGTGTGTGTGTGTGTTCGAAAGAAGGAAAGCCACAGTGTGTATTATCAGATCCTGCCATTGGTTACCATGGTAATGGCCGAGCGAGCTGTTTTTCCAGGACACTTTCTTTCTCTCTCATCGTGTTCACACCTAACATTGAAATGTACCTTCTGAGCTCTGACCACCGTTGCCACGTTCTGGAGGCGGATTAATGTGTGTCTATTTTGTTGTTGTTTATAAATAAAAGCTTATACAAGACACGGGAGAACACTCGACTTCACAACTAGAACTAAATCTTTTGCCGAAAGATTTTAATCCTGTGGTATTTTGTCCCTGTCCATTAGGGGGCGGTACCCCTCTACTTTGCTTTACGCATGCAACCGAAGTTTATGAAGACTTACGGGTGACGTTACATACAGAAATAGCGATCTGTAAATGGAGTCCAATAACATTAGAAAACGGCGTTCCACACGGTTCTTTCCCAGGACCCTTAATATTGAAGTCATATGATTGAGAATGCACTGAAATTCAATTTTACTTTACCTAAAAATGTCACCGACCCTTTAAATCAAGTTAAAACTAGTTTAATTTAAGTCTAAAACTCATAGGCTACAATTGTTAAAACCTTTCAATGTTTCATTTCAAACCCGAACAAAATAAAACAATGTTTTGCTTCCAGGGAAATTAAATTACGCAACAAAAACCACGACGACTCCACCAACTTCCACAGCCTCGATGGTTAGACTGCAAGAAGCAAGAAATGTACACAGCTTGAAGTATGCGCACGTATGTGCGTTTGCGCACGCATGTGCTCGTTATCAGCGCTTCTCAGCTTTTTCCTGCCAAACATCCATTTCCTTGGCAACCTAGACTGGAAACAGGAAGTGCGAGTGACAGGAAGTGCTTTCAATCCTTGTCAAATCTTCTTGAATAGTCTCCCTACTGTCTTCTGTGTTGCCATGGGAATGTACCACACATATATATACATATATATATATATATATATGTATATTTAGTGTTCATTTCATTAGCAGCCTGTCCTGACTTGAAGTAGCCAGAGGTGCTAATCAGCGACACAGAGGTCCAGGAGCAGAACCACAGAGTCTCCGTGGTAGTTAAAAGTAAATTGGTTTGCTCGGTTGCATAAGAATCACTTCCATCTCACTCTCTTCTTCAGGAATCACCATGGCAGTAATCTGCGTAGTGATACTGCCACTGTTATTGCACCAGTTGCTTTTTCTGATGCAACGTTCCCCCCGTGTCCGTGCTTTTGGGTTGAGAACGAGAGAGAATGATGGGCAACTTTCAACCAATTTCACAGAGACACGAGGAACTGCAGCTGCGTTCAAAGACAAGGCTCCTGCGTGGAATCTTAACTTCTCACTTCGTTAAACGCTAAACAATAGTGAAGGATTACGTTTTAAGACTTGTTATTGGTCTTTTAAAATTGACAGTTCCCCTTGAAGGGCCGGTTGTAACTGGAAGACTGTAGAGCTGTGAGTACTCCATGAAGTATTAATGAAAGTATTTACCAGGTTAAGAAACTCTGCTGCATGGACTTTATTAAATTCTTCCTAAGTTCCCACGAGCCTTACTAAAGGACTTGGCGGGCCACATTTGGCCCCCGGTCCTTGAGTTTGACCCATGTGCATCAGGTGGTCGTTGCTGCTTAAAATGGAAATGAAAAAACAAACCTGCCACTGTTTGTTAGCCTGTTTTAGCCCGATTCACCTACAACCAATCCTGATTTATCGAGTTTCCAGGATTCGACTGTGGGTGAGTGTCGACGGCTGATAGAAGAGCAGACTGATGATTGTTGTGCTTGGAAACAAATTAAGCAGGATTATGTTGTCGCCTTCTGAAACCCGATAATCTGACGTTGACACAGCTCTATCTCTCCGAACCTGCAGCTGCTGCTAAATCTCAACATCTGCCAGGTGATGATTCCAAACAGTTTAGCACGGCTCTACGTTAGCTGCTAGATCGGGGGGGGGGGGTTCAGGGGCCACATACAGCCTGATTAGATCTCAAGTGGGCTGGACCAGTACAATCATAACAGAATTACTTATAAATAACAATAGGTCCATGTTTGTTTATATTGTACATTAGAAAATATTCATATTTAATGAAATATACATTCACAAAACATCATAAACATGGAGTGTTTGTGCATTTTTTTACTTTCAAAGTTCATCAAGTGGGCCAGATTGAACCTCCCAGCGGGCCGATTTTGGCCCACGGACTGTATGTTCGACACCCCTGAACTAGATGGCAAAGCTATTGAAAACAGCCAGGCTAGAAAGGTGCAAACGACGGACCAAATCTTCTTCCGTCAGCTCCTCCCTACAGGCGCTCGTCTGCCTCCATCTTGATCGGCTCATCTCTAATCTTGTCCATCCTGGTCACTACTAGTGAGAATCTCAGCGTCTTCAGTTCTGCCATCTCCGGCTCAGCCTCCTGTTCCTCAGGCAGTGCCAGGGTCTGGACACCAGGCACCAGAGCAGGTCTCACTACTGTCTTACAAACTTTCTCTCCCAATTTCCTGCCGTCCTGCTGTCTCCTCTCCGTCCACTCCACCCTGCCTGTAAAACTGCACTGTTTGATCAGGAGTGTCAAACATACGACCCGCGGGCCAAAACAGGCCCACTGGTGGGTTTGATCCGGCCCACTTTATGAATTTTGAAATTGTAGAACTTCATGTTCGTGATGTTTTGTTAAATTCTATTTCATTAAATATGAATATTTTCACACTTGAATGAAAACAACAACTGTTTTAAAGAACTCCACAGTCCTCATTAAAAAGTCTGTTCGCAGCAGAATAAACCTTTAAACGCGTCTTAAGTCAAGGTAGAAGCAGAAGCAGATCTCCACGACTCTGTGCCGTGCTACGATCCAGAGCTCTCGTCCCCTTTCTCTCCAGAAAAAGAACTTGCACAACCCTTTTAAACCTAGAATAAACTCAGCCGTTTTAGCTGATTTAGCAGATCCAACCACGTTCTCTCCTCCGTCTAAGATACTGTACAAGAAAATACCCAGTACGGTGGTAGAAGTGCGAGCTGGTCAAACTAAACGTCTGACGCTGTCAGTGACATTTGTGACAGGTCACCTTCGGTCACAGTCGTCTCACTGACAGACGCCACGGCTGCAAATTGAGCAACAAGAGCTGAACCTGAAAATGGGCTCCAAAAAAAACAACATCTGCGTCTGACCCACTTTTAGCGAAAACACTTCATTATCTCCGTAAACCTTCCTATCTTTTTAAATTGTAGTTTTGTGTTTTTTTCTTTTCTCCTCTCCTCCTGTACATCCTGGCCTCCCTCCCACCTTTTCCTCCTCCTCCTCCCGCTGCTCCCCTATCTTCCTCTTCCTCCCTCTTTTCCTCCTTCTCTACAGGATGGGCAGGGCAGCTCCCAGAATACAATCTGAACCTTTAAGACCTTTTACTCTTCTGCAGGATTAACTCCATCAGGTTCAGCCGCTTCCTGCTGGAGAAACAACTTGGATTCGGTTCTACGTCTCGAGGATCTACTTTAACTAACTCACTAAAACACCTGAATCTCCTACGGAAACTTCTACCAACTCCCCCACAGGATTACAAGAGTTTACGCAAAATAAACAACAACCCTGCCTTCAGAGAGCAGCGGCACGAGGCTGGAACTTCAAACTGGACCACAACCAGAAGACGCTAGCCAAGACCAGGAGGACGGCAGGAAGGTCCGGAGGCTCAGACAGACGTTCAGAGTCCTGCAGAAATCAGTACAAGGCTGTTGGAAAAGTTTGATGGGAGTGCAGACAAAAGGTAAGAGCGTCCTGTCTGAACCTCTGCCGTCAGACGAGTGGAGTTCGGTGGTAATCATTAACACGACAGTTAAAAATTAAACAGTTCCAGAACCAGAGGAGTCATTCCCACAGACATTTACTGATGGTGTCACTGTTAGAAACAAAGAGCGTCTCATGTTCACGAGGTCACTGCTGTGTTGATTTAAGACCTTTGGAATTTCTGATCTGAGCTTAGGTATCATTTTGTGTTTTTTTAAAAATGTGGAATGAATGAGGCTCCTCAGTGAAAAACCTGTCAAAACAGCCGATGTAGCATTACACTCTCGCTCCACGGCACCAGTTTCTAACAGGAAACTAAATAACTGTAAGTAAATCACTCACACTCTCACATCAGTCTCCACGCAGGAGCCGGTGATGCCTTATCAAAATGCTGCCCCAAGTGGTCAGATCATGTCACTGACATAAATCAGGATTTAAAAAAAAAAGAAAATGCAAAACACACGATAAAAACGACACAGATCGCAACGTTCCTGATCCTAATCACAAAATACGTTGTAACTCTGTGAACACAGATATTTACCTCGTCTTAAAAATACTTTCACCTTCAAATATTTCTTCTGTGCCCGATTTGAAATTTGCAGTGATCAGTAGGGTCGTTTCTGAACGACAATCTGAAGATTCTTGAAGATCTTTAACTGTTACTGGCTGCATCACTTCTTTTTTAAGGAATTTAAGGCAAGCTCTTCCTCCTCCCTCTCCTCCCCGTCGTCCTCTTGTTTCGTCCTTCAGTGTGTCCCAGACTTATTTAAAGCCCCTGAAATCTTTTTATATCCCAGTGTTTGACTAACGCAGACACCACAACATGCGAACCTTGAATCAGTCGGGAGGAGCCGTTTAATCAGGTCCTCGGTCGACAGTACATTCTTCAGCTCTTAACATCCTGTACTGCAGTCAAGGTGTCACAGCAGCGTCAGGATCCTGAGAACGTGGCGTCAACATTTGTGATTTCAGCCATGTTATTTCATGTTACGTGTGACTGTTTAAAGATGACGTGCCTCTACAAAGAGCTTGATGTTGTAGACTCTAAAATAGATGAAATAAAATCGATTCATAAATAATAAAATAGAGGCCAAAAAGCTTTTAGCTGGTTTTTAGCCCCATACTAATATAAAATAGTTAAATATGTTAAAAGATCAAAGCTTCAAAACTCTTTAATCCATTAAAAAATATATCGTATGAAAAATTGCTTTTGTAACAAAAATTCAAAAACTAGCCGTATGAGTCAAAAAAAGCTAAATCGGATCAAATCTCGAACCTGATGAATTCCTACAGCGCAACCTAACTCGATTCCCGTAAGTCAAAACTCACCTACTGCACATCAGTACCTACAGTATGTCACTCAGCTACGCTAACACAGTGGTAACATCGTAAAGTAGAACATAAAAACATCAGAAGAGTCTGACTCACGTCTAGGAGCCATAACGAAGGACAAAAAAAAAAAAACACAAATGAAAGAAAGTGAATGTAACACGATCCAATGTACGACATCGAACCGGCGAATGTAAACAAAGACGTCTTCCGAATCTGGCATTCAGCTCACTCTAAGTCAGCGTTTCCAATTATTTTTCTGCCACGCCCCCTGGGGGACAGATCTAGAATCTAAAGGCTTGTTTATCGTTCAAGCATGAATATGGACGTGACCGTCACCGCGTCGCTCCACTGTTTGAGAAGCACTGCTTTAAGTCCAAACATTAGGCGTCCTTCTCGTGGAAAGGTCCTCTCATGTGGTCCTGCTGATGCTGAGAGATAAAGGTCAGTGGGTCTCCGTTCACTGGGTGGCATGAAGAACAGGTCTGAGCGCCTCACACAGCTTGTTTTTCTTCCTTCCTTCTTCTCTGCCCAGAGATGTGTTACATAACACCTCCTTCAGGACCTGTCTGATCCAGGATGTTTAGAGATGCTACCATGTAGGGGATTTTTATTTATTTTTTGTCTCCCTTTGTCATCTTCTGCAACGGTAAAATTCTTATCTTGGGGAGGTTTCATCCTGAAATACTTTTTTTGGATGGCGTAGAAAGGTGGGTGAGTGGGGTGGGGGTGTTCGGTGTTTCAATCACTTCGGGTTTTTTTTTTTTTTGTTCTGGGTTAAATCCTCCCACACAGCCTCACAAACACCACTGTTCAAACTGGAAATAAGACGAAATTTCAAAAGGAAAAAGACGGAATCGCCCACACGGCTCCAAGGAACAGTGGGAGGTAGTTTAGGCTTTAAATCATTGATGAGCCACTTTTACTGATGAAGATTTATAAATACCTGCCTTTAAAATAAAACTCATTTGGTGATGATTCTGTACGGTTTAGTTTGATGCAGATATTTAGAAAAAAGACGTTCTTGAATCTAAACCTAAACTGTCTTTGTATTTAGAAAAAAGACGTTCTTGAATCTTGAAAAACAACAGCAGTGGTACCTAAACTGTCTCTCCTGGGCCTCCCTTTGGTTCATTAGAATTTTTTTTCAAAAAAAAAAACAGGTTACACACACTGTTTAGTGTCTGTTTTATGCTAGCATGCTAGCATTGCTACTTGCTTACATCATTGGACAATTTGCTGCCTTACGTTTCACTCATTCATGCCATGCCACTTGCTGAAATGGCACTTCGTCCCACCTATAGGGCTCGCCCCCCATGTTGAGAACCTCTGCCTTATATAAAAGAAGCAGAGCTGGGAGGAGGGAGATCAATGTTTTCAAAAAGTAAGTAATAACTGTCAAGTGGTTTCCACTCATTCCATCTGCGCCACGTAGGTGGGGCGCACCCCCCACTTTGGGAACCCCTGCCTTAGGGACAGGTTGTGTTTGATTCAGTGCTTGACAGCACTTTTCCGTAGCCAGTACTGACGCCTTATTTTCTTGTCTCTAGTAAATAGTACTTTGTATGAATGTATTTCATTCATGCGCTCCGTTCAAAACACATTTTGAGTTCAAATAGCTAAACCCAAATAACAGCTAAACCTCAATTAGCTAGCAACAAGTTACGCTGTAAACGTATCACGTCATGTCGTAACAACAACAACATCATTTGTCCTGAACTTGTAAAGTTCGGAATCGCATCTCAGCAGACACTTCCCTCGACTATAAACGTGAAGAATTCTTTTTTCTTTTTTTGTCTACACTTAATTGTGATGGAAGTTCTGCCTACACACACGTCTCATATCGTTCCTACAGACGGGACGCCGCTCTCTGCTGAGCAGAGCGTCTGTGTCACCAGCTGACAATAACCACAGCCTCAACACTGTAGTGGAGATGGAGTGAAGAGTCTGTGATTGGTGCACAGCAAGTGAGAGAATGGATTTCACATCCCAGAAGGGAGGAAGAGGAGGGACACTTAGACACAAAGGAGACAAAAGAGACGGATTCTGGAAACCATTGTGTAGAGTTTGCTGTTGTTCATATCTGGCAGAAATTATGGTGTGTAGAGAAAAACAGTAATGCAGAGGGGTTTTTGGAGTGAGGGGGGGGGGGGGGGGGGGGGGGGGGTGGATTACTGTCAGATGAAATTATATTCTATACTTTGGTGTGAATTATTATTTTTAAATTGTATTCTTTATTTGAATTTAAGAACATAAATATGATTATTTTCTACTTTCCCTCGGGACCTGAAACCAGCTAGCGGCTAGTGTAGCTAGCAGTTATCGTAGCTAAGGGTCATGTTATCAGTGTTTGGTGTAAACATCTACACTTCTAATATTAACGACTACTGTGAGATGCTGTGCCAAAAGTGTTTAATGTAAGCGGCTAACAATGTCTTAGCATTAGCCTTAGCATAGCTTTTTTTGTTGTTAGCGTCTACGATAGCAGTGTCCCAAACTTTTAACGTCAACAGACATTATTTGTGAACTCCTGGGAAACATGACGCAAGACGACCCCCCCCCAAAAAAAACTCTTGCGTCCCACCTGAGGGTTGCGACCCAGTCTTTGGGAAACAATGTACCATAGCCAAGTGGGGCATCAACATTTGTGCTAATATCTGAGGGATGAATCCAGCTTCTTGTCTCTGACCTCAATAGCTGCTGCTGCCGTGTTTACCTTCTGTTTCCTCACAAGAAAATAAACATATTTAGCAAGTCAAAGCAAGCATAAATTATACTAAATTATTCTTTTTATGTTTTTAACAAACTAACTTTTAGATGTTTGTTCTACTTCAAAAATCTACAAAGGACATGGGTGTGTCCATGGACCCCTATGTTGAGCACATATAGACTGTGTCTCATTGAAGATTAATTCATCCCTCCGACACAAAAGGAATCTGAATATGTTTTTGTTTTTCCTGCCACTTATTTCCACAATGAAACATAGCGTCAGTTTCAAAAACTGTCAGTTGAAACGAATCCTCCATTAAAAAGACAGAACTCGTCGGAGTCTCCAGCAGTGAGAGCAGCTATTTCCAGTCATTGATTGAGCTTCAGGGAAACCAGCTGTTTGGACCAATCAAGGCTAGCGAAAACATAACCATACAGTTTTGATGGTTTTGTTGTCTCTCTCTCTCTCTCTCTCTCTCTCTTTTCTTTTTTTCTGTGGCTCTGACCCTCTGCACAGGAAAAGGGTTTTGTGTAAGAGACACTTTAAAAAGCAGGAAGATGATTCAGAGTTTCTGATTGGTGGAGCCAAAGCTCAGGAGAATGAAAACAAATCGGACTATTAGGACCGGATGAGAGAATTCCAAATAGGAAGTGAATCATTTAGCCATAATAAAGAGATGAAGTGCTGTTTCGTAATCCGACCTTCGATGTCACGAGTTCTTTTTGTTGTTCGACCAAACGCCGCGGCAAAGTCTCAGTGTCTGAACGCTGTTTAGTCGCAGAACTTTTGAAAGAAATGCACCTACGATGCAAACAAGGTCAGAACAAACCAAGTGATTACAAAAATGTTAAGAATCTCAGCTAGATACTAGGCAGGTACTGTAGCTGGTCCCAAAAAGAACCAAAAAAAAACAAATAACTTTAGTAAAACAGATCAATAAAGTTGAAAAGAAATCCCACATAGAGCTACAATTTAGACAGAAAAAAAAGACTAAAGTTGCACCAGGAAGATTAAACCTCCCGCAAAAATGGTGGAAGGAAATCCAGGGAGAGCCACTCAGGTGTAGAGGAAAATCTAACTGTGTATAAAACCTTTTTAACTTCTTTGAACACAAACGATCTCTCTCTCAAAATGAGGTGACGTGATGTTTGAAAAAAAAAAAAAAAGTTCTTGTCCGCCTAACTGTGTCAGACACATGACAGCGGTCTGAACACGTCCCACACCTCAGCACAGGTTGTCTGTAATACAGCTGATCAGAGGCAGTTACCCACAATCATTACGAGGGCCGAGTTAGGTTAACATTGACAGAGAGAGAGAGAGAGAGAGAGAGAGTCAGCAGGTACAGTGGAGTAGGTTGGTTCTTCTAAATCAGGAGCTGCAAAAACTGTTCGACTATGTTGCCATAGAAACTGTGAGGATGTAGATCAGGGGGCTTTTTTACCACACACACACACACACACACACACACAGTGTGACACACTGAGGTTAGCACAGGATTCCCTGTGATTCCAGTTTCTATGACAACTCACAACTTATCGTCCTCTCTCTGTCGGTTTAAATCTGCATCTGAAATAGAAAGAAAAAGAAGGAAGGTGTAATCAGCCTTTAAGTTCTGACTTCAGCCCCTTTAAATGAGCCAATGCTGATCAAGTGCTAATTGACAACAACGATAACGTTAACGTAAAAGCGACGATTTTCACTTTGTTTGTACAGTAGAGTTCCGAACAGTAACGAAAACATTCAAAGCAAAAGAAAGAGAAGTTCCAAGGAATGGATGTTTTGGTTCAGTGCTAAAATGTAGTGTTAGGTTTACACTTGTGCTCCCCAGCACCTCCTAGTGCACGCAGCAATAATGACAACTAGATAGTGACTGCAACTGTCCTAAAATTGAACAGGGGTCAGGAGCAGATCGACGGAGCGTTTGTAAGAACTAAAACAAATGACATGTAAAAGTCATGAATAAAGGATAAAATGCTTTTATCATTTTCTACGCCCTCTAATGGAGAAACGTGGGTATTGCAGGGAAAACACAGAGGTATTATGATAATATATAAATAAATTATATAATTTGGAAATGTTTGGCGGTCCGGAATAAAAAGCGAGACGGGCCGCATCCGGGCCCTGGGCCTTAGTTTGCCCATACCAGGCAGACAAACCTATCACACAATTTAAAGGACCCTAACCCTAACCCTAACCCCTAACCCTAACCCTAACCCCTAACCCTAACCCTCTTAAGTTGTTTTTCCAAGTGTAGTTTGCCCATACCAGGCAGACAAACCTTAAAATTAAATTCTTAAGTTGTTGCAACTATGACAACCAATTTTCCAAGTGCTCTTTTAGGGAATGAAACTCAGATACGATGTACAGCAGCACATGATCTCACGAATCAAGAATGTTGTTTATTGATGGTTAATATAAAATGATTAAAACATGATATAATGAAATGTTTTATTTCCAAATGTAGTCTCAAAGTTTTTAAAACGCTTCATCCAGCCGATTTGGGAAGAAGTGTGATACAGTGTGTGTGTGTGCGTGTGTGTGTGTGAAGCTTTGTGGATTTTGAGTTGAAAAACAGGAAGTGATGCAACACCCTGTAGCCATTATTAGCAGCGCAGAAGGTGGAGGTCAAAGCAGAGTGAGCAGACGATGTGGACGAGGAGGCGTCGTCTAATCTTCGTAGAATTTATGAGAAATCTGTGAGCGGTCTGCAGTGTGACATGTCATTAGTCTGATCATCAAATGAGGATGAAGATCAATGACACTGTCTGGTGTGGCTTTTAATATAATATAATATTTTAATTTAACAGAACAAAATATGTTGCCAAAATATGTGCTAATCATGGCAATACACATTTAGATTAAATCAATTTCTAACTCTCTGTTGATTGTTTTAATTGTTTTTATCAAGAAACGACCTTTACCTTATTTTGGATATTTTTTAAAAAGTTTTTGGAGTTTTATTTTTTAGCCCATATTGATCATTTTTTCTAGCTAATTTTGCTAACTCACTCTCTTTTATTCTACTTTCAGTTTTCTTACTCACTGTGAAATCTGGGCCTGTTTAGTTGAACACAACGCTGATATAATTGTAGGAATTGAAGAAAGATCTTCAACAGCAGAATGTCTCGTTTTTTGTTTTTTTAGTTTTTATAGCCACCTGTTGCCACCTAGTGGAAGAGTATTCAATTGTTCCGCCAGTCACTTGCAGAGATGAACAAAGACAAATTATTTGCAGTAAATAAATACTAGTTTTCAGACTAATTAAGTGGAACAGTGGCTGGGAATCCATTTTAATTTACATCAGTTTGGGTTTAAACTTCTTGTATTCATTCATTTTTTTACTTAATACCTTTCAAGTTTGCAGGGCAGAGGGGCTGAAGATAATCAAATTCCCAAAAAATTGGGAAAAAAAAATTTTGGGAATCAAACAGCGACCATTTTTTTGCTGTAAGGCAAACGCGCGGACCACTCCTTCCCCGTGTGACCCTGGTGTTTGTGCCAATTTCCATTAACATCCATCTGTGTGTCCTTCTAGCCACATGCCTCTGAGTCCGGCCGCTGACACCAAACATGATCGCCCGCGGCAACAGGCGGTTACTAACGGCAACCCGACAGGCTCTGCTGTTGCCAGGGATGACGACGGGGATGACACACCCCCTGGAAACAGCATTGTGGTCCGCATTGGTATCCCAGACCTGCAGCAGACGGTAACACACACACACACACACACACATAGTAAAGTGTTAAAGTTGCGAATCTGGAGAAGCTCAGCACAACGTCCCCTGAACATCTAATATTTACCCCTTGAAGATTCCTTTGATGAGGCCTTTAATATCACTGTAGTAGTTACTCTTCTGCTCAGGCTGCAGTAACACCACGATAAATGTCTTTTTTCATTCTTCGAAAACTTGACAAAAAGGATTATAAATTGACCGAACAGGTGAGTTGCTCCGCATGTTTGTCTACTAATAAGTTCGAGAAACACAGTGGAACCTCGAGATACGAGCGTCCCGACATGCGAGAATTCCGAGATACGAGCTAGCCTTCGAGCAAATTTTTGCTTTGAGATACGACTAAAGATTCGAGATACGAGCACGCTAGCAGACGCGTATCTCAAGGTTCCACTGTATTGACAAAAGTAGTCCTCGATTGGTAACCAAAAATGCTAGCATACCCACAAAAAGCTGAAGGCGATTCTTACCCATAACAACCTAAAATATTAAAGTCAGCGCTAGTGGAACTTCAGCTTCACTTTCCTTCATTTCTATTTATCTTAAAGTAAACCTGAGTTACAGACGATTTTTTTTTTCTCATTTTTGTCTCACCTTCAGAAGTGTTTGCGATTTGACCCAGAGTTACCGGTCTGGACCAGTAAACAGAGGGTCCTGGTGACACTGACTCAGTCTCTATCAGATGTTCTGAACTACGGTCTCTTCCAGCCGGCATTCAATGGCCGAGCTGGGAAGTTCCTGGACGAGGAGCGCCTGCTGAAAGAGTATCCACTTCCCCCCATCACTCCCATCCCCTACCTGGAGGTCAGTTCTCAAAGAGAAAACCCTCACGTCACTAACAGTCACCGCCTCAGTACAAATCGACTTCACTGCTCGATGTCTCTGTTTTCAGTTTCGTTACAAGAGAAGAGTGTACACGCAGAGCTATGTGGACGATAAACAGTTGGCCAAGTTACACACCAAGGTAGAAATGTGCAACCAAAACAAAGTACAAACTCAATTTTCAAACTCAAAATTCGTCACAACTTCACCTCATTCACTGCACTGAGAAAGTTGTTGTCATGTTTTTCAGGCCAACCTCAAGCGTTTTATGGAACATGTTCACCAGAAAAATGTGGAGAAGGTTTCCAAATGGCTGGAGAAAGGCCTCGACCCAAACTTCCATGACTCGGACACTGGTGGTGCGGACCAAAGAACGTTTCTTACACTATAGGATACAGAATGAATATTTGTATTGAAGTGTATGAGATGTGTCTCTCTCTCTCTCTCTGTGTCCACGTGTCTCAGAGTGTCCTCTGACTCTGGCTGTCCAGCTGGAGGAGAGCTGTGAACTCATCAAAGTCCTGCGTTGCGGTGGCGCTCATCTGGACTTCAGGACCAGGGACGGCATCACGGCTCTGCACCGAGCGGTTCTCTGCAGGAACAGCGCTTCACTCACTGTGAGGATACAATGTTGTCTTCTGCGGTTTAAACTGACCACAGGGGGGCAGCAGCCGACAAGCAGCCCCCGTGTCCCTGTGAGAGAGAAATCGCACATTACTTTGGTGAAGATTGAATTGGAAAACGGTCTTGCAATAAAATAAAACAGCGAACACACACTTTAGATAAAGGTAAAACAGCGAACACACACTTTAGATAAGGGTTGCCCAATAGGTGGATCGGGATCTACTAGTAGATCGCAAACAATTACTGGTAGATCATGGAAAAATAAAATAAAAAAATAATTAATACAAATAAAATGTACGAATGTACGAATTATTGTGCTTAGATCGTGGAAAATTAGAATTAAAAAAAAATATATATATTAATACAAATAAAATTTACGAATGTACAAATTAATCAGATTGTGCCGTACAGCTACATAAATAATCCAGAGGTTCCCAAAGTAGGGGGTGCGCCCCCTGGGACACAAAATCTGTTTATATGTCTTGTTTTTTTGGGGGGTGGGTGGTGCGAATTTTGTTATGAACCAAAGGGGGCCCCAGCAGAGAAAGGTTGGGAACCACGAAATTTAGTATGTTCAGTTCATTTAAGTAAATATATATTTATGTATTTACTGTGTTAAATGTCAAGTTTTAAATATTGTAGAATTAATCGCACTCATTCTTATGTCACCAGTGACTCAAGTTTAACTGCAACAACTTTTTTTTCCTTAGACCTTGTTGGACCTCGGAGCTTCTCCAGACTACAAGGACAGTCGTGGCCTAACTCCTCTCTACCACTCTGCCATGGTGGGTGGTGCCCCCTACTGCTGCGAGCTGCTACTACAGGACCACGCCACCATTGGTATGGAGGCCCACACTAATCAATCCTGTTAAATATATATATATATGTTTTAGATGGACTTTGAATACATTTACTCAAATACTGAAATCAGGGTTTGGGTTTTTTTGCAGTGATTTTTTTAACATATAAGATATAAAATCAGCCTAGAAATAGCTAGTAGTTAACACACGGTGAGAGCAAAAAAAAAACAAACAAACATATATTTTATTTTAATTTATACTCACCATAGCTATGTCTAGGCTGGTTTTATATCTTTTGTGGGGGAAAATCTGCTTTTGCCATCATTAATTTGAAACCTCAAATATATCTATATAAATATCTGCAAATATAACACTATTCATTTTTTTGTTGTGTTTTTTTTCAGAAATAAAAAAAACTCTAATGATATAATTGCCTTTTTATGATTACAGGGATGACTGATGAAAATGGATGGCAAGAAATTCATCAGGTGACACACACAGACGCACACACACATTTTTGTAATCATCATCATCATCATCATCATCATCGTAATCATCATCATCATCATCATCATCAGTGTAATGACTCGCACTAATGTCATGTCAAAGATCCTCGCAGTTATGATTGTGTGTGTGTGTGTGTGTGTTCAGGCATGTCGCTATGGCAACGTTCAGCACTTGGAGCACTTGCTCTTTTATGGCGCCGACATGGGTTCCCAGAATGCTTCAGGAAACACCGCACTTCACCTGTGTGCACTTTACAATCAGGTACTAAAGCAACACCAGCCGATGATAACAGCACATCTCAAACTCATTAATCACGACATGACTAAAGAACAGGGGGCGACTGTTTTTGCAGGATAGCTGTGCTCGAGTGCTGCTGTTCAGAGGAGCCAACAAGGACGTCAAGAACTACAACAACCAGACTGCCTTTCAGGTGAATGAAAAGTAAAGCAGGTCTGAGGGCAGCTCTTCTTTCACCTGCAGGGAACTTTCCACTACGGCTGTGGCAGCATCTAATTCTTCCAAGTTTTAATCTTAGCTCACTTGATTGGAGGTCCTTTAAATTGTGTGATACTGTTGCGTAAAAACTTATGCTAGCAGCCAGACATGCGCGTTGGCTAAAGCTATTAACAACTTCATGACGAAAAGCTAAATTGTTGTATTGCTGATTGAACGGTTGGGCTTTTGGGGGCTGAAGCCTGAATGTCCCGCCCGTCCCCTGTCCACTAGCCCGCACTCACATTACCCCAGAGGCAAGCGAGCTAAAGCCCAGTTGCCGCCAACACACATGTCCATCCATCCATCCATCTTTGTCCACTTACTGGGTCGCGGGGGAGCAGTCTCCACGACTGCCCCACAAATCACACCACACCGTACCAGTCCCTCGTAAACCTTCCTGCGGGTGGTGAGTCCACCGGAAGGCGCCAAACACGATAACCGGGATTCGATCTTGCCCAGGAGGTGAACCCTGGGGTTCCACACCAATGACAGAGACGTTGCCTCTGAGTCAAAGCGCCACGACACATACGTCAGTGACTGTTATTATATGTGGTTAAAGCACCGCGATCAAGAGCAAGTTCCACAACAACGGCTGCTTTTTGAATATCTTCAAAATAGTCGGCCCTCGCCGGTGTCTTAACTGATTCGCTGTGCAAGGCGGTTGGTTGAAGTCAATCGTGCTGCACACATACAGCAGTAATAATATTTAAGCACATTTGTGGAGCTCTATCATCTGGTCTCTAGAGTATTTTCCCTGTCACCGTCTCTCTGCACTGCTGCCACCTCACAGCCTGGAGTAAGTTATTTATACTGGAATTAATTCATCAAAATGAAACTGTTAAAGTCCTAGACCAATACTGTAATTAACACGTGGGTGTGTGTGTGTGTGAACAGGTGGCGATTATTGCTGGAAACTTCGATCTGGCAGAAATCATTAAGATTCATAAACATTCTGATGTTGGTGAGTTTTAACACGTCGTGGTCACAGGCCTGTGTTTTTACCTGTAACCAGTAGCTGGTTAACTCTGTCTCTGTGTGCGTGTGTGGGTGTGTGTGTGCATGTGTGTGTGTTTGTGTGTTTGTGTGTGTGTGTCTGCATTTGTGTCTAAGTAGTTCCCTTCAGAGAAACTCCCTCCTACACCAAACGTCGTAGAATGGGCATGACCCGGACACCGGCAGGAAACGGTCTGTCATCTCCTCGTTCCCTGATTCGTTCGGCCAGCGACAACGCTCTGGAGAGTCCGGCCTCCTCCCCCGGTCCTTCGCTCCAAAGCTTGGAAACACACCTGGATACACACACACACTCACTGCGTCGTCACACACGTCGACTCAGGTATGAACTTGTTCTTGAAGAAGCAGGAAGTCTAACACCGAACGATTTCTGACTTCTCTCTGTCTCCTGTTATCTAACCTTTGACCCTTTCCAGCCCCAGCGGTGGGGGTCATGTAGAGACCAGTCCCCCCTCCTCTCCTCCTCTGACACCTCAGATGCGAAAGAGGAGGCTCTACAGTGCTGTCCCGGGGCGCACCTTCATCGCCACCCGCTCCCACGTCCCTCAGGGTCCAGGAGAGATCCAGCTGCACCGTGGAGAGAGGGTCAAAGGTCGGTCCACTGTGTGGTTGTTAAAAGCGCCGTTAGGTCGTTTACTCACAAAGCGTTTTGTTCGCAGTGTTGTCCATCGGCGAGGGGGGGTTCTGGGAAGGAAGCGTCAAAGGAAGAACAGGCTGGTTTCCTGCAGACTGTGTAGAAGAAGTTCAGATGAGACAGTACGACCCCACTGCTTAATTGCAGTTTAAACTGCACCTTGTCCTGAACACATCACACACACACATCACACACATACGCACACACACATCACACACATCACACACACACGCTGTCATAATCACTGATTATGTGAGCGAGTTTTAACCATAAATGTGATGCGTTTCAGAAACACGGGAGGACCGCACCAAGAGACTGTTCAGACACTACACCGTTGGATCCTATGACAACTACACCTCTTACAGGTTGAGTGCTGTCATTACACCGCCTGTTCTCACGCCTGTGATTGACCTTTTTATTCATCAGTCGTTCTCTGTATCGCAGCGATTATGTGATTGAGGAGAAGACAGCGGTGCTGCAGAAGAGAGACAGCGAGGGGTTCGGCTTCGTCCTGAGAGGAGCCAAAGGTAAAAAAGAGGAAAAGGAAGATATTGGAATCACTGACGTACGTGACTAGTGAACAGTAAACCCATCTATTAACATCATTATTATTCCAGCTGAGACACCTATAGAGGAGTTTGCACCAACGCCCGCGTTTCCTGCTCTTCAGTACCTGGAGTCTGTTGACCAGGGGGGCGTGGCCTGGAGAGCAGGGCTCAGGACAGGAGACTTTCTTATAGAGGTTCGTCACCTGCACCATTACTACATACATGAAAACTGTTTGAGTATATTTATATATACCTGTGTGTGTGTGCGGCTCAGGTGAACGGTAATGATGTGGTGAAGGTGGGTCACCGTCAGGTGGTGGCTCTGATTCGTCAGGGAGGAAGTCGGCTGTTGATGAAAGTCGTGTCCGTCTCCAGGAAGTCCGAGTCTAACCTCATCAGGAAGAAAGGTGCCACCTTCACTGTCCACTGCACCAGTCTGTTCTATTCATCTGAGCTTCCCAGCAACGACTTGTTTCTGATCTATAATAATCATAATAATAATAATGACTTAGATTTGGTTCTCAAATATATGATGTTATGAAATATATGATGTTATGTTAAACCGCTTAGAGGAAAATAACATAACATATATATACACACATATATACACAGTATATATATACACATATATATATATACACATACATACAAATATATGTATACACACATATATATATACAGTATATATATACACATATATATGTGTATACATATATGTGTATATATACTGTGTATATATATATATACACACACATTTGGGAAGATATATATCGGCCCAAATGTATACACATATATGTATATACATATATATGTGTATATATATACTGTGTATATATATGTGTGTGTGTATGTATATATATATATACATATAGAGATGTCCGATATATCTCCGATATATCTGCCCAAATGTTAGCATATTTTGTAATATCTGTAAGAATCGGTTTTTCCTCCGATAGTGAAAAGCCGATAACACAATACCTAGATCATGCTAACAACAAATGCTAACAACATGACCATGTAAAATACCAGGAATCCCCTCCTTTTCAAACATCTGTGAACCAGCAACCAAAGCAAAAATGTCCCCTTCAGTGTGGGGAATGTCTGCAGTAATGCTGTCTCACTGCATTATCGTTTCAAGAGTATTGACATACCAATCCAATATTAGACTTTCAGCAAATCTGGAGGACCATTTTTTAAATTAAATACAATATTTTTGACTGTAAAAGTAATTCAATATCTGAGAGAACGAAGACACTTTATTACTTCCACTGTCGACTGTTAATATGACCCTCTGTGACTTTTCTCTAACTGTATCCTGATTGGCTCTCACCTCTTAGCTCCACCCCCTCCAAAAAGAGCCCCTAGCACCTCGCTGACACTCAGATCCAAGTCCATGACCGCTGACCTGGAGGAGATAGGTAAAACAAACACACACATTTACACAAACAAACACAGAGTGTGGAGTCACACAGCAGCAGCACATGTTGTTGATCTCTGCTCTTTCTGCAGCCAGGAGGAGGCGCTTTGGTGAGTCACGTGGACTCGGTGGTGCATCTCTTGTTGTGTTTTTAGTTTTTTGGTCTTGCAATGTCGGACAGTGATTGTGACGTTAGAAGTTTTGGATGTAAATGGTTAAGTTTTGGCATGAAATCGGTCTTTTGTCTCACTGTTGTTGTGGCTTGAAACATTGGTTGTAAATCATGGCCGAAAAAACCTGGACACAATGTTCAAGGTCATCAAGGTTGCAAAAGCAAACATAATGCACATAAACCAAGCTTCCTGACATTACTGTTCAGACCCAGCACCCCTTTGTTAATACTCAATTTCTTGATGTAGGTCACTCACAGCTATCTTTTCGGGGTCTAACTTTTGGTGTTGTTTTCAAACTATTTTCCAATTGTCGCAAGAAAAGACATTTTGTGCATGTAGACATTCAAAATTAAGACTTTACCAAAAAAAAAAAAAAACAAACAAACACAATTGATGTGGAACTTATTGGGAAATGCGGCACCTCAGACTAGCCTTGGATCAATCCGTCACCAAAATTCTCTTGATAGTGTCCGAACACCGAGCAAAACATTAGACATTTATTGCATGGAAACGCCAGGCAATATTTTACTATAAAAAAAATAAATAAAGGTTTAGCTGACTGTGCAGAAGAGGAAGATGTTTTGAATCCACAAGGGCGACAAAAAAGTCGACCTCTTGTTAGCTTCAGAGGATGGCTTTGAAGTTTATTTATCTGATAGTCCTACAAAGTCCTGTAACTTCCAAATTAGGTATATTTATGACAGTGGTCATTCTTAGGACTGACCTTGGACATTCCCAACCATCTGTGATTGAAAAAAACCCTATACTCTACTCTCGCCAAGTGGACAACTCTCAACTACTCAAGATATAGCAAAATGTAGCTGTTACTCTAACAAAAATATTCAAAAGGTAGTACTGTGGTACTTCCTTAGGCCCCACCTTCTCTTATTTGTAAGAACTGTGCATCCCCGGATATACACAGTTTGCATCTCTTTACTTTTTACAGACTGTGTGTGTAATCATTGATTTTCTAGCTGAAACTCCCAGGGTTCATTAAGATGTTGTGGTCATGTTGTGATGTCATGAGTATTTATTCCTGGTTCAAGTTTCTATTTTTGGTTTTGTCCATGCCTTGTTTTTGTGTCTTTTGCTTTCAGAGAAGCTTGATGAGATGTTAGCTAGCGGTCAACCAGAAGTCGTCCTAAGGGCTCGTCCATCGGATGATTTTAGAGCTGCAACAGTCAAACAGCGACCAACCAGTCGACGAATCACGCAGGCTGAGATTAATGTAAGAGGTGTTTCCTAAATGTAGTTACGACAGGCCCATCAGTTTCGAGCATGATGGCAATAATTAGTCTGCTCTGTTATGTTTAGTCGCTGTTCGAGCGTCAGGGTCTGGTCCCACCTTCGGTCCCAGAGAAGAACACCATGCCTTTACCTAGAGGAATGTCCAGAACCAAGAGCTTTGGTGAGATACACAACATACATGGGTACTCTAGGAAGGAGATCTAGGTAATGGGGCTTGCCCCAATTTTCTAGATGTTCCACCTCTTTTGAAGAACACTTAAGTCACTTTCCTAGACCTACAGTCCTCAGCAATCAGAAAATATCTGTGTATCTTCTCAATCAACCAAGTCGTGGTTTCTTTACAACTGCAGCTCTACGCTAACTACCATATTAGCGTTCTAAATCTCAAAGTTGTCTCAGTTGTCTCTTGGATTTCTTGGCCTCATTTCTGACATTTGTCCATGTTACTTTGACAGGCACACCTGAGGATGACAGGATCACAGCTCTGATCAACGAGAGTCGATTTCCACGGAGCTCGTCACTGACCGACAGTTTCATCCCTCCTCCTCCTCAAACAGCTCCGCCTCCTCCACCCTCTGCCTCCTCCATGTCCTCGCTCTACCTCCTTGATTCTGGACCTCCTCCTTCATTCCTTCCCCCTCCTCCGCCAGCTAGAGGTGAGGGACTAACCCGCTCTAGCTTTAAACCAGGAGCGGAGCCAAGGTTGCAAGAGCTTACCGATTCTCCAACAAGAAGTCACAGTCACGCCGAGAGGCAAAGGAAGGCAAGGTCAATGATCATCCTGCAGGACACGCCTCCGCCACTGCAGCCTGACATCCACGCTGCTACTGCCATTACACACACCACTCTGCACACTGCTACACACACTGCCACGCACACACTTCACACCACCACCCACACCTCCAGCCTGTCTCTCCACAGCACCAGCCCTGCCCTTGGCCACTCACCACTGTCACGCCGCCGAGCTAGACCAATAGAAAACCCATATGCTAATGTGGGACAGCAGGCTCCACCCACCAAACCGCAGAGGAGGAAGTCACCTTTGCTGAAACAACTTCCCGTTGAGGAGCAGGGTCAGCTTTTATGTCTTGGAATGTTTTGAGCATGGTTTAAATATTACATAAATTATGATGATTTTTTTAAAGTAGACGCCTCTTCTCTATTGTCCTGCTTCATGCTTGTGATTAAGAATAATATACCACTACACAGTCTTACTCTTCATCATTTATTTTCTTACAGGACTTGGGATCAAAGATCATGATCTTTCCAAGTCAGATGGACTCACACCTAGCAGCCCGAGCAGAGCAGAATTGTACCAGCAGCAGGTTCTTTCGGAACGTGCTAGAGTCCAGGGTCGTAGATCATCGCTCTTTTTGTCTGTTGAGGGGGCAGGGTCAGAAAATCAGACAACACCACTTCTAACTCAGAGCCATTCCATGGATGACCTTGGTGAGCTTCCTCCACCTGCACCTGTCCTATCGCCTTCACCAACGCCTCACACCTTCCTCCATCCGCTTACTGGTAAACCTCTTGGTAAGTCTGAAACCTAACTCTTTGATATCTTCTTTCAAGGCAAAGTCTTGGATAGTACCTTAAAGTACCTTTACAAAACAGGACACCCCATTAGTAGGACACCCATTACTTGAATCAGTTCACCAATTGCAATCGACAAATGGAAACACCACAATGAAGGACCTATCGTTATCGTTATTCTTTTTTTTTCAGATCCCGCCTCTCCACTTGCCTTGGCTCTTGCTGCACGAGAAAGAGCACTAACCGCGCGTACTCCAAGTCCAGAACCTCGAACTAAACACACATCTGCTTCCACAACACCAATTCCCACCCCAGCCGCTAGCCCCGAGGGGAGACACAAACGCACCCCTCTCCCAACACCTCACAGCAGCCCTGAGCCGAGATCAAAGCGCACCACACCACAAACCAGCCCAGAGCCACGGACCAAGCGAACAACTCCTCAAACCAGCCCCGAACTGCGACATAAACGCATAACCCCACCTCTGTTTCCTGACGGACAGGTGGAACGTCCAGAGACAGAGGGAGGTGTGACATCACCTGCTGCCCCTTCCCCTGAACGCTGGAGACCAACCCCCCTGCCACCGTTGTCCAATGAAAGCCACTCTACTCTGATTGACAGGCGGAGGAGCCTCACAGTAGGCAGCTCTGAAGAGGAGGGTGCAGCTTACACTGTAACACTTCCACCAGCATTGCTTTCATCCAGTGACGAGGAAACCAGGGAAGAACTGCGCAGAATTGGTCTTGTGACGCCTCCTCTTGCCTTTTCTAATTCTCCTGCTCCTGCTCCCCCATCTTCACTCACCCTCTTGCCACGACGAGGTGGGGAGGGTGGAATAGAAAGTGGTCCCGATTCCATTGGAAGAAGGGAAGAGGAGGAGACAGTTGATGAAAGGCTTCATGACACTGCCTCTTCTCCTAGCTCACTCCCTCCTTCCATCACCTTAGCTTCTCCTCCTGGTCCTTCCTCCCCTTCCTCCCCTCCTGCCAGTCACCCAACCTCTTCCTCTGCTGCTACATCTCCCTCAGCCCTAAAACCCCGCCTTCGTTCACCGATCGGCCGAGGTCGATCAGCACTTCGAGACCCACTGCTGAAACAATCATCAGACAGTGAACTCCTCCCCTCTGCTGCATCATCCTCCCCTTCCTCTCCTCTCTGTTCCTCACCCACCGGTGTTAGTGGAGCTGGACGGCAGCCACGTTACTTATTTCAGAGGAGGTCCAAGTTATGGGGGGGTGGAGACGACCGTATTGAGGAGCGCCGTGGTCTGAGTCCAGATGAAGGAATTGGGCGCCCGGCAGCATTGGGAGGTCAGGGGCCGAGTTCAGGTTCAGTTGTAGATCTGACCAGTCGGTCAGCATCGGCATTGGAGCTTAGTGGCAGGGCAGGGTCCGGATTGGATTTGGCTAATCGGCTACACCTGCTAAACAAAGATAGCCATTCTCTTGGCGAGGAGCCAAGTCCCTTAGACCCTGGTCGCAGGTCTCCCGTAGGAGGTGCCAGGTAAATAGACTCCCTCATATTTTAAACAAGTTAGTTTTATTACTTCTCGGAAAGTATGTGTGTGTGCATGTATGAGTGTAACAGAATATGTTGTTTGTGTTGTTCCAGATGTGTGGACAGAGGAGAGAGTAAATCGTAGGTTTTTAACTCTGGTAAACATTTCTGAATCTTATTATCGCCAAGCTATGATTTTCATCAGCTAACAGCTAACAAAAGTCTCGCCGCCAAGCTATGATTTTCATCAGCTAACAAAAGCTAACAAAAGTCTCGCCTATTATTCTTTTCGATGACTAACTGCTCAAACTCAGTGCAATGCAATTATTTACTTATCGTTTGTAATTGTCTCTCACTAACTTTAGCAAGAGTTTGGCTGCCGAAGATTAGTTGTATTGTCTTTAATTGTTGTACTCAATAAAACCTTTTTTTGGCCAGGAATTATGTGCATTTCCACACAGGATCAAGGAACTTCAAGGTAGTAATGGCACTGGGTTTTAGCCCCCAATATGGTCCATGCTAAAGAGAAAGTTCTATCAGGTAGTAGAGGTGCTAATAATTTGGAGCTTGGAAGTTCTATCAGGTAGTAGAGGTGCTAAGAATTTGGAGCTCTGCAGCCTTTCCTAAATGATAAAGACCTTAATGCTTTTAATTTCACACCGCCTTTGCCTGAGAGCAAAATCCAAATTACTTTTGCCAATAAACAAATGACAAAATACTATTTAGCATTTGTTTATGGGTCTAACCACAATGGAAGTGCAGTACATTGTAAATAAAATGCAACTTCAATGTTTTAATGACCAGAAATATTGCTGGCCTAATACATGGTAAAACCTGGGTTTTGCGACATGAAACCCCTCAGATGGTCTGTTACCACTTGTCTTTGTCTTTCAGGTTGTTTTCCAGTCTCGGTGAACTCCATACAATTTCACAGCGAGGATACGGCGCTAGCTACACTGTTCGACCAGGAAGTCGTTATCCTGTCACCCGCCGGAGCCCCTCCCCCTCTCCTTCACCTGCCGAAAGGTCAGTGGCACTCGCCTCCTCTCCCACCACCTGCCCTGAAAGGCCAGACCTGAGCTCAGGTCGGGGTTTAACCATCCTGAAGTCGTCTAGTCTTAGTCTCCCCTCTGAACCAAAGGAGGTTCGGTTTGTAATGCGAAGTGCCAGTGCACGGACCAGGTCCCGCTCACCATCACCTTCGCCACATGCCTCCCCCTGCCCTTCCCCAGTTCTCAGCGGTCCTCTGCTGGCTCTTCGGCCATGGAGGCAGCGACCCCTTAATCTGTGGAACAAGTACGATGTGGGCGACTGGTTGGAGAGTATAGGTTTGGCCGAACACCGCCAACGCTTCCAGGATCATGAGATCGAAGGTTCCCACTTGCCCGCCCTCACCAAGGAGGACTACGTAGAGCTGGGTGTCACCAGACTTGGGCACAGGATCAACATAGAGAGGGCACTGAGACAGCTGCTGGATGGTTCCACTTGACCCTTCATCTCTGACAATTGACCTTTAGGCACCCAGAACTGTGACCTCATAATCCCTGACCACTGGTCAGACTTTAGGCCACCTCTTTGATTAGAAAATATAAGCAATGTCTGATTTTGAAGTTGTCAAAATCATTCAGAACCTAGCTCTCTGTGACATTTTGGCTCATCAGCTGTTTCATCAACAAGTTTGCAGATCTGTGTCCAGCATTTAGCTTTATGTGTCCACTAAATATACCATAAGATCCATCCTTAGATTAATATTTTCTGTGTAAAAAACGGATTAAAATACACAAAAGGAAGGTTTGACTCTTCAAATTTACTACTGCATATAATTTTAAATCAGATATATCCTAGAGGTTGGAACGTAAAACACCTTGTGACTATGTGCAATTGTCTTACAAGGTTAAATAGCATTTTCTCCAGTTCGAATAATTTGCTTTTCTCCAAAATCTACATCAGTTACATTTGTATTTATAACAGCCAATAACAGATTGAGATATTCTTTTGCTGGACACAGAACCCTGAAATGTACCACCAAGTTAGGGTCCCTGAGTCAAACAGCTGATTGGACAAACTGACCACTGATAAGATGACGAAGGCAGACGCTCTCAGACTAGGATAGTTAGCAACAGATCTTAGACAAAGACTCTTAACTCTTCCTTTCTTAATAAATTCTTGTGTCTCAGCATTTTTATTTTCATTGTTATCACTCACAAAGACTTTGTGTTAATTTTAGGTTGATATCTTAACACTGATTATTTAGAACCTAGGAATAACAAGTAATAATAATATGGTGATGATTTAAAAGAGTTTAATTGTTTGGGATTTTTTTTTTGACTTCCTTATGATTTGACAATGAGTTGAATTTTCCGGTGGCGACGTTTTGGAATTCATGATGATTTGTCAATGAGTGTGATGTCGTGCTGACGTGCTGTGTGTTTTCAGCTGAGCTCAAACTGTAAAACCTCTCTGGTTTCTAAACCTGCCTATTGAGGGCTTTACTGTACATGGTGCTATTTGTTTAAAGCCATTTGTACAGACTTTTCACTCCTCCTCAACCTCCTCCCTCTATACCTTCTTTAATCTGATTTTTCCAAAACTCTTGGGTTAAATACCTTAATTTAAGAGAAAGAAAACTGAACTAAAGTAAACAAATCTTCACTCACCACCACCAGAAACAGGCCATAAATGGAGTTTTCTCCCTGCCATATTAGGGAATTCTTCCCTGCCATGAGGAGTTTCCTCCTAAACCTAATTTTTCTCAAAGGCTATAAGTGGAGTTAACTCTTTAACGTATTAATAATTGATTTAATTTTTATAGTTTTACTATCGATTAAGTCACAATGGTAAAATAAACTCTAGGAACTCTAGGAAAATCATTTATTGAAAACCTGGAATTTTTGTTGGTTTTATTTTGATGAATGATTCAGTTTCAAACCAAAAGATTAGTATAGTGGAATGTTCTGCCTAGCTTAGCACTAAGACTGGTAGCAAGGTAAACCTGATAGATTAGCCTAATCAGCGTCTGAAGCGAAATTACATATTGTTACAAGGAATATGTTCAACTGTCTGATAATTGGCTAAAATGATAAGCTAAGCTAATGCTGAAAGGACAGTGATTGCAAAAAAAGAACGTCTACCCGGGCCTCCTGTCGTAGCACATAGACAGAACGCAAAATCGAGAACGAGAAATTGGTCTGATCTGGAGCTTTTGATGCATCTTGGCAAACAAAGTTACAAATATCACTTAATATAAATCATTTAAACAAGTAAATACATTTTTCTTAATTTAAACAGCATCTCTATATTACAAAGCTACAATTTTATTCCCACAATTGTCCAAATTATCTTATCAGAGCTTTTTTTTAAATACTACAGACATAAACCAGATTCTCCTTTTCACGCCTCACTGAAGCACAATCAATATCACAGTGCCTGTTTCCAAACAAACTGTACTTTTGTCCTTTCTAACAGAAGAACCAGAACATGTGCCAATGACAGTTACCTTTTATACAGTAGCTCTAACACCTGCCAAATAGTAGAGCAGAGGCAGATAATGTACCATAGTCCATGTATAGAACATTACTCTAGACTTTATAGACTCTAGTATATAGCATACATTAAGCTAGGATAATAATGTAGCTATAAAGCCACAAATACATATATAAAGTATAGTAGAAGATTTATACAGTAATATTTTGTTAGTCTTTGAGGTCTCTATCGATGTGTTATATTCAGACTCTATAAACATTTTAAATCTATTAGCTGTTAATCTGCTGCTAACTTCACACTTACATTATCACACTTGAAAAAAATAAAAATAAAAAAAATCAATTGAGTGACAATCTCATATTTCTGACTAAACACCACTTTATTCCTAACATTTATATGTTTAAACAGCATTAAACAATGCTAGTGTGCCACTGTGGTCAACTCTGGAACTACATCATTGACCACAAATAAATATATATAAATATATATATGTTTATAAATCTTTTCCCAGAATCCAAACAAGATATTTTTGTGTGAGATTCTAGCATGGACAAGCACAGGCGAAAAACAGGAAAAAAGGAAGCGATATCCAACAACAAAGGCCAATGAACATGGGAATAAGCCATGTTTTTAAAAGTGTGAGGTTTTTGAAAGTGATTTTAGTCAATGATAGTTGTAAGAATATATAACATGGCATCACAGTTTTGAAAATCCAATATTAGATTTTGGTCATTTCAGAACAGTTAAAAAAGCCATAAAATAGCTTTAGATCATTTTCTAAAAGGTCTACAGTTTTTAAACTGCCACCCAACGGAGGATGTTGTTTTGTAAGTTGTCGAGTCCAAAAATATTAAACTGCATTTGTTTGTGCTACCAAATACTAATCACAAAGACTACACAACAAAATACTTAGATTCTGAATATAGGACACAGAAAATTCACACTAAAAGACAGTTTTAGTTCCCCTAAAGTGGATACTATTTGTGGTTAAATTTGGGCCACATCTCCTGGGCTGTTATTAACAAAATTTGTATTTCTTTATATAAGTTTAGAATTTTTTTTTTCATTTTGTTCAGGATTTTTCAGCATCCAATGGTGCTTTGAAATGGTTAAATGTCTACAAGATGAAATTGTGTTGTATTTGTAACATTGACACTGGAAAATATCTAAAAGCACTGGGTGACTTTCTAAAGAGGAGTAGTTTAAGTAGGGCCATAGAGTTTGTAAATGGTTAACGCCCCCTGACCATTTTTTTTCTTCTGTCTTCATTCAATGAAATACTTTAGCATTGTTTCCACCTTGGGCCAACACTCATGTGGGAATAAAAACATCTGCAAAGTCCTGAAAATATTGTAAGAACAGAACCAGCCTTTTCTTCTTACGAAACAAGAAACGTTCATTGTTCTGCGAATGTTTATACTAAGTAAATATCACTTTTTTCACAGGATTTAGAGACAAACATTTTTTCTCCACCAATGATATTTGATCAATTCTCAAAACACAGCAGATGTCGTACTGTGAAAACAGTTGTTACACACTTGGACACAAATACAGTACAACAGTAATTCATACTCCGGTGTCCGGTGCTAATGAAATCTGGTGAAACCAGATGATTCTTTGTCAGATTTAGCTATCATTCTGTCAAATTCTGGCGACCAGTTCTTGTTTGTTGAAACATTTTTAAAATCCCAGGTCTGGTTCTTCAAATCCAGACATTGCAGAACACATCTGTACTCAGAGGCAGATGTTTGTACTGTGTGTAAATCTTTTTTTCCTCACAGTCTGGCACTTGTTAAAGTTTTTTTTATTTATTTTTTTAACATTGAACATGAAAACATGACCCAACATCAGAGCTTAATATTAGTTTTAGTTCAATAATGTCAAATTTCACCCAAAAGAGAAAGAAAAAAATGGCACATTGAACAGAAACACAAAAAGCCTGTAAAAACATCTTACCTTTTCTGATTGGCTGAGAATCGTGTCTTTCTTCACCTTTCCTCCTGAAACGTCCCTCCTCCTGATTTTCACTTGGTCCTGATGATTTTACGGTCACTTCCTTTTTCTCCGTCCCACTTCCTCTTCCTCTCTGGCTTCCTCTTTTTACACTACATTTCTAGTTTCTTCTGGAGTGAGTGTTGTGTGTGTTGTATTGACTTTTTTTTTCTTCTTTTTTCTAAAAAAGAAAAATATATGAGAGCACACTATGACAACTGATAAGCTCTGCAATGGAACAAGACTTTAATCTTTATAATAAACTGTCATTTATTACAAATCTAACAGGTGATTACTTTCTTTCTGCTTCGTTACTGACCAGTTTCATTTTGACTGACATGTCTATTCTGTATTTCCTCCACTGCCAAAAAACATAGTAAAAACAAAAAAAACGTTTGTGGCGATAACAATTATCTTGATTTTATTTTTTGTAATTTTAATTGTATATATAAGAAAATTACTAAAAAGTATACAAAGTATAAAGTATTGCAGCATGAATACAATTTCGACAAAATATTTAATTTCTTGTGGCGTATGTAGTTTACAGGTGTGTGTATTGGCCAGAATCTAGCTAAATGATACATATCACGATATGGGTCAACGATACAATATATTAGAATATACTGGGATACTATAGGCATATTTCTGTATTATTTCTAATACATATTTATACAGCTTGTTGTGCGTACTAATCCGGCGGTCAAACACTGGCATAAAGTTGTTCTTTTTATGGTGAAGACTAATTCGCATTTGTCTTTTTCCAGGATTAAAATGCGTCAATATTACCACTGGATAACAACATACATAATTTACCCTCAATGGAGAATGTAATCTCTCTCATTTAGAAACGTACAATAAATGGCTATTTCGTAGTATTCCAGAAGCTTCTTTTAACCCTGCTACATATTTCCAGCCAATTGCGTAAGACAAGGATGACGTTTTTTTCTCAAAACAACGACGACCATTGGCTAAATTGTCAGCTGCGCCCGCCCAACCCCACGCGAAGACCTGTGCGGAAGTCGAGTTGGATTTAAAACAAAATGCGACAAAAACGTGGAGGAAAAAGTGAGAGTGTTGATATAACATTATTATGTACACACTATTTTAAGCCACCACATGGTAGCCGGTACTTTTAAGTAAAAAAAAACATACGTTATTTTCGACCATTCATTCGGTTAGCGTCATATTTGAAGACAGAGAAATAAAGTACTGCAAAATAAATGTCACAAATTGTAGAACGATTTTCGTTTTTTTGTTTAATCCTAAAACTATCTAAATGCGGAAAATACCAACTAAATTTTGTTCTTATGCTGGAAACAAACAAAAAAAGCCTTGTGTGTGATAATTCTGAAACCCACCTGACAAAGCTAGTCTTTAGCATCTGGATAGCCTCGGTGTCTTCTCGGAATTGAATTACGCCTTCATAAAAGTATGCCGTGTCTACTGAGCATGCGCATTAAAAACCATTACGCTTGCGCCTGTTCAAAAGTCATAAAATCAGAATACACCTGGAATAAAGGGGAAAAAATAATAAGTAATATATTTAATACGTTTTAAGTATTGCATCAAATGTAAAGTTTGAAGGGAAAAAAATTAAAAGAGCTTTTTTTTTTTACTGGCGCACGGAAAGAAGATTTATTTTGACCGGATTCTCAATTGAAAATTCTGTACAGAGTGAAAAAAAAGGCTTACTAAATAAACCTAGTGTGATCAGGAACTGATTGCTTAGTGACTGTTGAACTTGAACTTGGACCACTCCTCACAGATGTTAAATTCCTGGAATTCCTGGAGACCACAACAACCTCATTAGATGAGACACTTTAGTCCAGTTGTTAATATTAGAAAACTTCTGTGTAAACAAATGGACGTGACTTTCTTGGACAAAAACCAGCAGCAGAGGGCCCATAATCATTACCTTGGGCCAACAAGTTTATGTTTACAGTGTTGAGTTGAGCTAGAATCTGATTGGTTCTGGCAGCTCCTAAGGTCCTCCTTCCCCTTTGAGAATGTTTATGAGAAGGTTTATGAGCAGCTGCATGGTCAGTGTACATGCAGACACCAGACCAGGTAGGAACCAATGTTACTGAGTGTTTTTTTTAGTCTTACAGAGACTAATATATTTTCTTACTGTTAAAATATAATGTCTCCTAATGTGTCTTATTGTTTCTGCATGATATCCGTGGATCTCCCTTTTTCCATTTTTTTTCGGTACAATTATATTTTACTTTCACAAAGTGTGTTAAACACAATTTCCATGTTTCAATCAACAAACACACCCTGTTAGCTAAACAAAAAGGTGACTAAAGGTTGTGCTGTGAACTGAGATTTGAGTTCAGCTATAAGATAAAGTAAAAGTGAAAGTGTTCTATTTATCGTTGCACACCACCACACACACATTGAATTGTCTGTCCTCTGCATTCATTCCATCACGATGCTGTGAGTGTGTGGGGGAGTGGTCAGAGGAAGGGGAGACGGGGTCGGAGTCTGTGTGTGCACAAGACGGGGGACCAGGAAACGGACAGGGAGGGAGTTGGGCTTCCTGACTGCCTGGTGTGTGAAACTGTCTTTTAGCTTGCTGGTTGTGTTTCATCATTAGTGCTAGTTCCGCTGAGTTAGATTTTACTATAAATAATGCCATCAGTGTCTGGTCTGGATCAGGTCTTGTAGATCTGAGGTCATAAGACATGCGGGGTGAAGACAGTGAAAAGAAGTGAGAAGAAGGAGACAAACTAATGGAGAAAGAGGATATGAAAATGTTGCCATGGGAGTTCCACCAGCAGTCTAGGCCTATAGCAACATAACTAAGGGATAACTCAAGTGTGCTTGTGCCATCCGTTAGAAAATAAATAGAAATAGCGCCAGAGAGACGCCCGGTGATTTGTGTTGTTACAGGTCTTCAGATCTAATCTGAAACTATTTTTTCTACAACTTTTAATGCAAAAAATATTTCTAATTTTGAAAATATAAAAAATATTACACAAGTGCTGAAAGGCCGATCTAGAATTTTGGCTAATATGTGCCTATAAAGAACGGGTCAGAGGTTCTTAACTGCAACGCACACCATGCTCCTGTCCTCTTATCGTCAGCTACATTGTAATATTTTTCAGGTAAACATGCTGTCAATACCAGATGTTATCAGGAAGAAGAGAGATGGAGAGACATTGAGCGACGATGACATCAAACTGTTCATCGGCGCAGTCACAGAGAAATCCATTCAGGATGCTCAGACAGGTACAAACATTTGAAGACCATCGAAGCTCGTCGCCGGATGCTTCCACATCTCACGTGTCTCGATCTTTGCGCTGTAAGGTGCGATGCTCATGGCAATCTGGCAGAAGGGGATGGAGGTCACAGAGATCGAGTCCTTCACCAGGGAGATGATGCTGTCAGGGGAAGTGATGTCATGGCCGCAGGAGTGGGCAGGACAAGTGGTGGACAAACACTCCACAGGTGGAGTGGGAGACAAGGTTAGCCTGGTGTTAGCACCAGTGCTAGCCGCCTGTGGATTGAAGGTAGCCGTGTTTTAACTTTTATTACAGAAAAATTTCTAAAAATGTGCGGTTCTTTCCGTGTTTTAACTTTTATTACAGAAAAAATTCTAAAAATGTGGGGTTCTTTTTTTTTTTAGCATAGAGGTAAGTTGTGAATTATTGTTCAGTCAATCAGATGTAGTTCCTCCGTGGACCACTAGAAGGGTCAATGTAAATATAGACATAAGAGTGAAAATTTTCTTTTCGTATTTTCAACAGGTCCCGATGATAAGTGGGCGTGGCCTGGCCCACACAGGAGGAACTCTGGACAAATTGGAGTCAATACCAGGATTTAACATCCAGCAATCATCAGAGCAGGTTCAGAAAGTTGTTTGTTGTTGATGTTGATATACACTGCAGACTTTTCTTTGGCAAAAAAATAAAGGTGTTTGTGATTGTTTCCATTGTTTTGATCGATGAAGTGAACGTGAAATAAAAAATGTCAGGATTCATCTTGTTCTGAGCGCAGATTCTGAAGATCCTTGGCTCGGTGGGCTGTTGCATCGTGGGACAAACAGAGAAGATAGTTCCTGCAGACCGAGTCCTCTATGCCCAGAGGGACGCCACCAGCACTGTGGACAGTCTGCCACTCATCACAGGTATCAATGTAAACAATAAGAGTATGTTCACGGACATAAAACATCAGAACTTGTGTTCTGTGGCATAATGTAACGCAAACGAAAGAAAACAAAAGTATCACGATCCAGTGTATGGTGTACGACCAGCAAATGTAAACAAAGCCATCTTCTGTGTATAGCACCACGTGACAATGTATTCATCTGCTCTATGCTAGATAAACACAAAAGAAAACTTGGTCTTAAGCGACTTCAGGGTCGAGGTCGTCACGCCTGTCGTAAATCTGTTTGATCTCAGTTTCGCAGATAAGCCTTGTGTTTGTTTTGCAGGTTCAATCATCTCTAAGAAAGGAGCTGAGTCTTTATCGGCTCTGATTCTTGACGTGAAGTTCGGAAAAGCGGCTCTGTACAAAGACCTGGAGAGTGCTAAGAAGCTGGCGCAGTCCCTGGTATTAAACACTCTCAAAAACCTGGTATAAATGAATTCCACGTCACATCCAGAGAGCTGATTTTTTTTTAAGATTCAGGGGAGGGAAGGGAATGGTTTAGGAATGCGAACTGGAGCGGTGCTCAGCACTATGGACTCAGTGATTGGTCGAAATGTGGGCAACAGTCTGGAGGTGATTGAGTCTCTGGAGGCATTGAAGGGAAATGGTCCTGAAGATCTGATGGAACTGGTCACCACTCTGGGTACTTTTTTCTTTTGTTTTTAGGTAAAGTTTGTGCCATTCCAATTTTAAAATACTTAATTATCAGTTTTTTGGCTATTGTTAAATTATTATTATTGAGTATTTTTTTATTTTCAAAATTAACGGGCCAGCTTGAACACCCTAGTGGGCCAGTTTTGGCCCCCGGGCCATATGTTCGACGCCCCTGGTTTAAGGCATTCTGTGCAGTGGTGTGCCATGTCACAATGATTAATAATTAACTTTTCTTTTTTAGACTATTTTTAGGTCATGTCATCTGTGTGAAACCCAGGCATTGAAATCAGGTTTCCATTATCAGAGGAAAAAGCGGGGAAAAAATTCTTACCGATATTGTACAATATCAGCCAATAATATGGGTCAGCCGATATTATTGGACATCCCTAATAACCACATATACTGTATTAAAGGCATCACTCATACTTATGTAATTCTGCTTTGTTCATCTAGGGGGCATACTTCTATTAATGACCTCCAAGGCCTCCGACCTATCAGAAGGTAGGAAACAGGTTTTGGACGTAGTGAAAAGTGGAGCAGCTCTGCTTCGTTTCCAGGCCATGATGGAGGCTCAGGGCGTGGCCAAGAAAACTGCTGAGACACTATGCTCCGCCCACACTGACTACTTCAGCGTTCTGAGGAAATCTGAGCACCAGACTGAACTGAGGACATTAGCAGATGGTACAAAAACACAGAAAAAGACGATTCGGGTTTAAGCAAAAGTATTTAAACAATATTTAATGTATAACAATGGGACTTTTTTCTGAAGGTGCTGTCACAGGACTCGATGGTTTGGTTTTGGCGCAAGTTCTTCATAAGCTTGGGGCTGGACGATCAAAGGCTGGGGAACCTATCAATCACAGTGTAGGGGCGGAGCTACTGGTGTCATTTGGTCAGAAGGTGGAGAAAGGTGGGTTAGTCAAAAGTAATGGTTTTGATAAAGATAATGAAGACATGAATATATAATTTCTTTTGTCGTCAGGCACCCCCTGGCTGCGGATTCATTATGAGAAGCCATCCCTGACTCCAGACCAGATGAGTCGACTGCAGAACGCTCTTACCCTGGGATCAGACTCAAAAATGCAAACACAGAGTCTGGTCAAAGAGCTGCTGCTTCCAAATTAACACATACTGACGATTTAAGTAATTAACAATTGAATACTGCTGAGCATAACACAATATGCATGAACTGTGGGGATGATTAATTTAGATAATTATGAAAATCCTCTTTTAAACACTTCTGACATTAAAAAGAAGAATTTCAAGGGTTTTTACAAAAACTACTCGGTGGAGTTGCACATTGTCTTTGTGGACAAAGAGAAAGCATACAATAGGGTGCTTATGGCAGAATTTTTTGGATTGCGCAAGACAGTTGGGAGTGGCAGAGAAGTATGTGAAGATGGTGTATAATAATATATTATATATAATAATGTTTAGTGCAATTATGATAATTATGATAATTATATACAATGATAGAGGACGTTATAATACTCATTCCTTACTTTATTTACTTACCTTTTTACTTTGCTAACCAGAGTAATTTACAAGACAAATGAGTTTAATAGGGTTTTTACAAAAAATAATTATGAACTAATGATCTATTCTGTACTAATGCAATATCAATAAAATACAACTTTCTCCTTGTTGTCCAAATGCGCTTTTTATCATTTTGGCATGCTGATATACTTGTTGTCTCTTGTTCTAAATATTGTCCCAGTCATAACCAAAAATTAACGTTTTTGAGAGTTGTGAATTTTTCAAAATATAACAGTAATATAAATAATTTTAAACAATACAAAAAATGTATTTTAAAACCTTATCCCAACAGCAAATCCATTGAGAAAGAAGATAACTTAATTTGAAAATGTAAACATATTTTATTTCAGTCAAGATTTAGAGAAAGGGAACTTTATTTAACAAATGCAATATGACCGAAAAACATAACACGCATAGAAAAGTTATTGAAATATACTGAAATATATCACAACTGCAGCCATTCCGTTTAGTCTCTTTGTTTGTTTACCAACTCCTGGCCTCACCTGATGCAGACTTCCAACGATTCCCATTACAATTCCTCACCCGAACGATGCCAGGGCTGAAATCACCAAACTGACTGAGCACCGCAGTGAAGGCAACAAGGTCCTCAAACGTCTCATAATGGAACAAACTTCAGCAGAGATATTGGATGTTGGAGACCCAATGATGAGGACCAGGAAAAACATCAAGAGTCGTGTAGAGGCGGGGCTGAGAGGTTGATGTGGGGCGCAGTCAGTGGACGACGGAGTTGAGAGGCTCAGCTCTGATGTTTCCTAAATCCAGAGTGGAGTCTGTGTCCTCATCAATTTCTCCAATCACAGCACTGAAATATAACCAGAAAAGCTCACATTTAATTACGTCATTCTGATGATGAGAAATGATGGCATGGGTGGATTGATAGATCGAGAGATAAATAGATAGATGTGGCAAATTGTCTTCCCATGAACTAAACAGTTTCATGTTGCTTCAACTCACACATTATCTCCTCGTACGATGTAAAGTCCGAGCACCACCTGCTCCACACCCTGAGAGGAGCTGAACACTCTCTCGTGACTCTCGTCCAGGATCAGGTTGATGGTCTGATCAAAGCCTTTCAACGTCCCCTGGAAAACAATCAGTCTCAGTTAAGAGTTATAAAAACCGTTGTTCAACCCTATTAAATATAACATTTCCTATTTCCTAATTTGGTAACATAAAGACATCATTTTTTAAAAACAGTGATTTTTACAAATGATTTTTGGGACAGTTCTACTTACATGCAATTCTTACTTAGGACTACCACATTGATTCCAACATATTTCTACGTCTGACTTTATTTTCAGACATTTCTGAATTTTGATTCATTGTGATTTTTTTTTTTTGGTCATTTACCTGTAAAATTTAAATTTTATTAATAAAGTATTCCTAATATTTCAATTTTTTAAATGAATACGTTTTGAGACATAGTATAAAATACTTAATAATAAATAATAATAAAATAGTAGGTAAATAAATTAACATCTTACTTCAATGTGACACTTTCGGCTAAGGGCAAATATTTGTAATACTTGATTTGAAAATTAATGGACGTCATACACACTTTTAAATGACGTTTTGTTCTTACATACAATAACGTACTGACTCCATGTCGCTAACACACGGCGCTGTTTTACATGGAGTTGTTAAACACAAAATATTTAGCTGAATTACTATGAACTGTTGTTAAAAACGCATTCAAACTCACCACAATCATCCTGCCATCTGAGGTGACGATGGCGACGGTGCCTGACTTTAAGTCAAAGAAACATTTCCTAATAAATTAAATTACGTTCTTACAAGTACATACGTATACACTCTTGAATAGATTAAGCTTTACAACACAAACACACATAGATTCATTGCGGAAAAAAACAAACTTAGCTTCATTTATTCATAAGATATTTTAGCATGTTAGCAGCTAACAGCAGAAGGATACGATTGATGTAACTCTCCAGTGCAGTAGACATGACGCTTCCTGCTGGGTTTCAATGTCTTACTGCAATGACGGACGTTTTTAAAGCCACGTAACGATGTTTATTTACTTGAAAAATAGACTTTAACATACGGCTAATGCTAATGGAAACAACGGAGCACCAAACACAGAAATCACGCAGTGACCGAGAGGAACAGGCAGGAAAAAGACCGCCGTTTGTTACGTCACATCCGGCATTTGATACGTCAACGTTTATTTTTTTTGTGTATTCATATTTAAATATTGTTTTTGTATTACTTCTGCTGAATTTCAAAACATGAAAAACTTAAATTTCCGTAATTTCATGGTTCACAGATCAATAAGTAATAAATGTAAATATAATTTCTTGAATTCACAAAATATTTTTAACGCAGGTTTTAATGTAATCGCCTGAAAGACTAATAATGTCTGAGCACAATTAATTGAAACTTAAATAATATTAGGTTCATATATTATTAATACTTAATTTTGCAACTTTTCATAAAATAAATGTTTAAACTTTTTGACTAATTTTGCGGTATAGCTTTTTTTAGCTGAAATCAACAACTTTAGAAAATAATAACAGATGTGTTCCTGCATTATGATAATGCTAACTAGAAAAAGCTTAAACAAAATTTTAATTTATAATAAAATGAATGTTTTTATAAATGTGTGTACATTTATACACCTCATGTAAAACAATCATAAAACAAAGTGATGACAATCGATGAGAGATGATGACATAAAGTGCACTCAGTAGTCAACAGTATGTTTATATTTTATTAAATTATATAGATCTGAATTATACAGTGTTTTCTCAGTACATACAGAATCTTCTGTATAAAATTCACTACACTGACTTTACTCTAAAAACAGACATGTCTGTGTGTGTGTGTGTGTGTGTATGCCAGAGATGACACATGCAGTCAGTCCAGTCATCTCCGCATGTCTTTAGCCTTTTTGTTGCTCAGTAGTTGTCCATACAAAGGGGGTGAAGAAGGAGCGAGGGGTAGAGGAGGACGAGGACGATGACAACATAGAGGAGCAGTGACAGGACCAACACCAGGAACATCATGCTACCAAAGTATTAAACTTGTACAAAAATACTTTACAATGTCCCTGTTTCTTTAAAGAAAAATAGGTTTGGTTGGTTGGTGAAGCTACATGGCAATTTATTTGACCAATTAATCTGAAATGGCAGTGAAATGCATGCGCACGTGTGTGTGTGTGTTTGTGTGTGTGTTTGTGGATTTTCTGTTCAAGAGAATCACTGAAGTGCAAATCCCTGCAATGTTTTCCACACACACACACACACACACACAAACAGTGTGTATGGCTTTGGAGCTCACATGTCCACATCTCTAACGTTGTCATCTCTTTCTCCTGCAGGACCGTTTGTAGACTGTACATAAAGATGAATAAATGTTAGAAATGATTAAAAAACTGGCAGAGTTAGCAGTAAAAAAATAACTAAAAGATAACTCAAGTAGGCAAGAAACATTGCTGGATAAAACGTACCAGAAAAAAGTTGAAAAGAATAAAGAAAATATAAAAATGCTAAATGGACAGGCTGTTCAGAAGAAAGCTTTTCAGTTATTCACTGTATGTGTTTCTCTTCAAAAACAAATGAAATAACTTGTTGTCATGTGACGTAAGTTTGACACAACAAGCAAACATGGCTGACATTGTTTTTTTTGTTTTTTTTGTGGAGGTGCATTCTCCATCTTTATTCACAGTCTGTGTTGTCGTTGCTAAACTGTTGGATTTGGAGCTCGGTGTTTGTACCATTTCTGAGTGAAACAAACTAAATCCCAACCAACATGTTGAACTAGATATCAAAGATGGCCTAACTGAATGTTTACGTGTACTGTTTCAGCTGTTAGCCCTGTGGTACCTGTGCTAGTCAGAGATAAGGCCAGTGTGTTCTGAGCTGTGGTCAGAATTGATGTTTATTAGCCCTGTTTTAAAATTTACAGGCGTTAGCCCTAAGCTAAAGCTGCATTAAACAGCTATTGGCTCTCCGTACCACATACATTAACCCACGTTAACAATGTCTGTCTATTGGGTGCTAACTAATCAACTGTGCTTACCAAGTGGTGACTGATTATTAGCCAGTTTAGCAGGCGTAACATTGCCTGTAATGTTTAGTTTTTTGCTAATATAATATCGAGCCTCGTAGTAAATGTTAACCTCTGGTTCGGTTGTGTTGGCTACATGTTAACTCTGTAATTTGGGCACATTTTTTCAACCTGGATATTAACATATAGCCATATCTTACCTGTGTTAGCGGTTGCTAACCACAGGGACAGGTATTAGCTTGTGCTCATTTTAATCATGGGTTAAGGCTAAGACTACAGTGGATATAAAAGTCTACACACGCCTGGTAAAATGCGTTTTTACATAACTAAAAAAACAAGAATCTTTAAGATTTTTTTCCAATTAAATAATAAACTGAATGTCTAAACAGTCCTAAAAACAATAAACTGAATGTCTAAACAGTCCTAATTAAACAAGAAACTTCAAATTAAATTAAAAGACTACTATAATTTAGATTAATTTCGACTAATTAGGAGAACACCTGTTAGCTAGAACTTGATTCAGTTCATTTACCGAAGGCTCTATGGTGCTCCATGTCCTATGATTATTAGGAGAACACCTGTTAGCTAGAACTAGCTTCAGTGAATTTACCAAAGACTCTATAGTGCTCCATGTCCTATGATTTAAAGCATTGTTTCCCAAAGACTTGGTCGCAAAATATTTTATTTTGGGTCGTCTCGCATCATGTTTAATGATGTCTATTGACTTGGGTTGCGAAGTTTTGTATGAAAATATGAAAATATATGTCCCCTGAATTTTTTCAGGAGAACCGTCTGGGAAACACTGGTTTAAGTACTTGAAATATATTAATTTTTTAAAAAAAAGAAAAACCTATTGAACTTTATTTGAGGTGAGTCAGATACAATTTATTTATTGGCACATGTATCTTAGTACTCTTTAATATTGGTTGATATGTGATATTTGTTTTATTGAAATGTGCAGATTTAAGGTTTAAGTTCTGAAGTTCAGTATGTTGATTAACATTTAACAGAGGGGTGTAGACTTTTAATCACCGTAGTCTTTGTGTGCTCATTGTTTTGTTAGCCACATGCTAACAATATGCTAGCGCTGTGCTTCAGATTCCAAAATAATCACGCTTAACAAAGTTCGGGGACTCGGCGAAAACAGCAAGCCACAGGAGTCAACTCTAACAGCAGCCAATCAGCTCACTGAACCAAAGCAAAAAGATTGAGCAGCAATCAACTTTTTTTTTACTGGCCATTGGTGCTAACGAGGGACTCTGATTGGTCAGTTTTTAAACTGAGGTGAGAGCAGAATGGTGTTGACATCAATCCAAAGGTTGTATTCAACAACACACACAGACACACACACACACACACAGACACACGCACACTCGTTCACTCACACACATTTTTTGTCTTACCGTCACAGGTTTCCTGTTTCAAACACAGGACTCTTTTTTTCTCACATAATATTTCATGGTTATGATTAAAAGTTGTCAGGGTTCGACGTTTTTCATGTGAACAGCAACAAGACTGAACTCGTTTTTTTCTTCTTCTATTTTACACAATTTCATGTTCAGTCGTGTAAAAACAAACAAACGAACGAACGAACAGAGGAAACGGACAAAGTCAATCAGAAACACACAGAAACACAAAGATAGATTAGTATAATAGATCACTGTTACTGGGGTTTGGTAGTTTTGATGGGTGTGGCATGCGTGGCTTCTCCCTGTAAGATTGATCTGATTGGTTTGGTTGTGGGTGTCAAGGTTAACCAATCAGAGACAGGTAAGGAAGCATTTTTTGTTTTTGTTTTGTTTTTTTTCTCTTCTTTGTGTGTTTTGTCTGATTGGTTCCAGCCAATCAGCTGAATCCTGAATCTTGGATGCCTATTGGTCAGTAGTAAAAAGGAAAGGATTTTGTTCGTTGCCAAGATTGATCAACTTGGGAGTGGGAGTGGCTTTACTGGCCTTGTGATTGACATACACACATACTAACATACGTACATACTGTACACACACACAGTGCGGCCAGTCCAACAAGAGTAAACAGTAGAAAACAGTAGATTCTTATTTAACTGCTCAGTGTTGTCGTCAGCATTATCAACACAAATGGAACTATGTCCCAGCCTCCAACTCATTCATGGCACAGAACGCTCTAACCTACTGCGCGTGTGTGTGTTTTTTAATTGATGCTCCGATCAGGACCAAACGCTTCAGTGACGACAAAGATTCGGAATTCAAACACAAACACGTTTCCCTAAATCCAACAAGGCTACCGCAATTCTCACACACGAAACGAATCACACCAGGAACTAGAAACAGTACCACCAATTATTTGTGCTTCTCCACATGGACCAGGTTTGTGTGGCTGGATTTAATATTTTTGGCCCTACGCTGCCAAAGTTTGCTGATGACATCATGATTTCCAAACGATGCAGTAAATTTCCACGAACAACCCCCTGTCGAGTTTGTTTCAGTTGATAAATAGAATTAATTAAGGTTCAGGTCTTCTCTCCACTCACCAGTCATCAACTGTTACAAAATACGCTGACGACTAAAGTGCTTGACCCAAAAATTTGGTCTGCACCCAGTGCTTTTCGACTGTGACGGAAAACCTTTTTTTTGTTACCATTTTGAGCAGCTACGTCATAAAAGACCAAACGTAATGGAATGGATTTTAAAGGGATTCTAACACAGGAACAAAACATGTTAAGGTTTGGCAAAGCTTTAGACGGCGACAGTGACATTAGCTCTGCGTCCTGATCGGAGCATCTCTCTAGGCTTCTTGGCATCCTGCCCGACCATCGCCAGCTTCGGAATCCTAGGCTTTCGAACACCGTCGGTCTTTGTGCTGCTGCATCATGGCCATAAATAACAGTGAGCCATTATTCTCTGATTCCGACAGGCCGTGGGTTCCAAACCGGAGAAGCAGCTCTGGATAAGAACCCATTAATCTGTTACCACCAAGACCAAAGACTATTTGTGAGGTTCTGTGTACTAGGATCTGTGCCGAGGCTCCAGCCACCCTAATCCAACTCACAGGAGCGTGTCTGGATGCAGGTAAGACCACTGGCTTGTGTTCTGGCTTTGGTCCAACCTGTAGCGTGAGTTTGGCCTTGACTGAGACTGAAACATCAGTGACTTCTAGTTTATCCGATCAGTGACTTTGGTTCTGGTTTACGGTGGCGCACGTAGCTCTTGTATCTATTTTCGTAGGGTCAGACGACACGGATTCGAGTTAAACAAGTCAGTAGTCTAGCATGGACAAGAAGCCACATTTGTGTTGCCCCTAAGACCAGCAGCAGTGTATTCGACAAGAAAGAGCAGCAGCTGAGACTCTTAATTCTAGTTGGATCTGTCAGCACGTAGAAACAGCATCCAGCGGTCGCGGACGGTTGGAACCATTGTCTGTGGTTCCATTTATTCAGATCAGGGAGCTAGATGGGGACTAAGATTCAGTGTACGCACGCAGCTTGGCCTAGTAAGACTGTTGTTACTGGCTGTGGTTCCAGGAGGCTCAGTAGTTTAGGTTCTTGTCTCAATGACAAAAGAACAGGTTTCAGAACCAGTTTGCTTGACGAGGAGTAGTCCCAATACCTCTATGTTCTTTTAGGTTCCAAGAGCAGTTCATGGGTTCATACTTAGTGGTTGAAGGAAAATTCTCATCCAGGAGTGTAGCACCACGGGGTTCCACTCTTAAGCAGTGGTGACGGGTCTGACCCACTTTGACACAACTTGGTTGCATTGTACTTCTCGGTGACATCTGGCTTTTAGTCTGATGACCACAAGTTAGACTCGGGTAGGGTCAGGTCAGCCTGCTATGACGAGCCACTGTTCACCTGTCCTACACCGAGCCCCAACCCCAGCCCATCTCCAGGTTGGTTCCATTTGATCGGACCGCAGTCCTCTTCGTGGCCCATTAAAATCTCAGGGTGTTCCAGGTCATTATTTGGCTGAGAGGAGTGGCTGTTGTTGGTGTTGCCGTCATTGTGATTGGCCAGCAGAGTAGAAGAGGGCGTGGACGAGGTGGGGTTTCGACTGATGACAAGATCCAATCGATTTGGAGACTCTGCTATTAGTGGAACCACCAAGCAGCAGTCAAAGTCCCTGGTCCGTACATGGTTTATCTGAAACACAGAGTAGGAGTAGACGTGAGGGATTGGTTTCAGCGTTTATCGGATCTTCGGGAATAACAGGACGCCGGTGTTTCATACCTGTAATATCCGATCAAAGGCTCTGAGGCCAGCCCGTTCTGCTGGCCCTCCAGGTCGGATGTTGTTAACATAAACCCCACGGTCCAGTAAACCGTCTGAAACACTGAAACCAAAGTCTTCTATGTCGGAAGCCTTCTCGAGGCTCATCTGAAATACACACACAAACGTGTGTGTTTAAGCATCACAACCATCCAAGTTTGGGCATGTATTTAACATTTGCTGTTTGGAATGAAATGGTCACCTTATGGAGTTCCACAGGGTTCTGGGTAAGGATTTCATTGACTTCCTGCCTCATTTTCCTCATTGCGAAGGCTCGACGTTGGGGGTCGGACGGTAAGGTGTTTGAGCGAGGAGTGACCTGAGGAAGAAAAGTTACAGAACAGTTTCACGAGGGTACAGATCTCAACAAATCTTATTATAGACACTTGATTGAAGGTCCTTGTAACATTGTTGCCTACCATGAGTCAAAAGTCAAATGCTAAATATCTAAGGCGGCCAATGTTTGCCTGAATTGTTTTGTTTTTTTTCTTATCGTATTCTAATGTAAATGACCACAGTTTGAGGTGCGGTTACCTGTGGTCGGGAGTTGCTACGTTCCTGAAAACTTGCCTGACGACCCAGGGTGCTGCGCAGAGGGGTTGGGTCATGATTCAGGCTGAGGGTGGAGCCTGACATAATGGTTGCCTGAAGACAGAGGACAGGTCAGTCAAGAGGTCGTGCAACCAAAAGACATCATCTTCGCATGTCTCGCAGAAATCATCTTAGCAACCCTACTGCTATCTTACTGACAGCTAACAACAGCTCCTGGATTAATGGAGTCTCTAGAAAAGGACTGAATTTCAGATTTACCTGGATCTAGTCCTGCTTTTCCAGATTTTATTTTTAATTGTCATTCTTGTTATGAATTTCACAGTTTTTGCCTCAGTCCTCCAAAATCAACGACTCGTCAGACTCATGCTTGACTGACAGGTCTGTTTCACGACCAAAGAAGATAAACTACCCATCGGGCCTTGCAAAAGCTCTCCCACCATGCCTTGCTCAAACTGCCAAGCTTGGAGCGACACGACTCTGCCACGATATTGGCCAGAAGCTGGGTGATGTCACTACAAATGCCACAGTACCCTCAACATGGTTGGCAGCGCTGGTGCCGGGGTGCAGTTAGTTACATTCAAAAATTACTGATCAAGATACACAAAGTGTTGACAGCGAGGGTCCAGGGACAGAGAGAAGAGGGCACAGGATGGAAATTAGTGAGACGGGTGGAAGGAAGAGAGAGAAGAGGAGAGGGAGGGATGGAAGGAAGGAAAGGAGGAAGGAAGGGTACCAGAGTGAGGAGGCCTGTCTCGTTTTCTGACTCCTGAAAGAAAAGGATTCATTTCTGTTTTCAGCTGGGTCACAAGAAAGCTACTTAAAAATAAAAAAACAAACCAAGTAGTAGGTATAGTATTACTACTATACGTACTACTACATAAGCTTACCCTAACCTATAACACTCCTTAGGGCAGTATTAAAACTGCTTTTGTTATTATTACTTTTATTCAGTTAAAGCTACAACTTACTGCAAACGCAGCTGTACTACAGTATCTAACAGCAGTACCTTGAAAGGTTGTACTCACCTCCAGCTCCCTGAGGATGCCACTCTGACCGCAGGTCTCCAGGTCCTCCAGGGCCTGAGACCAGAAGTTCTCTTCTTGGTCTGGTTCTGTGCCATCGTTCCCAACAGTGAACCTGAAGGAAGAGGATCATGAGCAACAGAAGTGAGGAAGCTAACAGGCTAATGCTGGTAACGGTAATTTATTTTTAAGGACAAATGAAACCAAATGTTCAAACTTAACGTTTTTTTGTGTTTTCCAAATAACCCTCATAAATGTTAATTTTCTTAAATAAGGGTTTGAAAGTAGGGGAATTTCAAAAATGTGCAAAAAAATCTAACATCCATGTGTTTTCCAAATAACCCTCATAAATGTTAATTTTCTTAAATAAGGGTTTGAAAGTAGGGGAATTTCTAAAATGTGCAAAAAAATCTGGCTTTTAAGTCATATTAGTAAAATATCACTTCAAAGTGATATTATTCTCACCCTCCGAGTGGGCGTTCCCAGTCGTCGTCACCGAGGCCCAGCTCTGTCAGCGGATTGGCTCTCTGACGAGCGGAGGACGACGTTTGGCTGTTGGACGTCTTGGTGCTGCGCCAATCTTGAAAACTGTACGTAGTTAATTGAAAAGATGGAGCTGCAAAAATAAATAAATAAATAAAAATCAGCCGTCCAGATGAAATGGTTCTTCCAGCTACAGTTGTTTTTTTGGTCCAATCAGAGGTTGGACGTTGGGGTCCTATACCTGGTGTGGTGAAGCTGCTGTCCATGTTGGATCCATCCCAGGACTCCACGGCGCTGTCCACAGATGGTAGTGTGCTGAATGCTCTCTGGCTGGATGGTGGTGTGACCAGGATGATGGGCTCTTCCTCCCCTTCCTGATTCTCCTGACAGGGGTCTATGCTTTGACCAATCACAGTGGACTTCGGACTTGACACTAAAATTAAAAAAAAAAAAAGCATTATCCAAAAAACAAGAACATTTGTAGATAACCTATGTTGTTTAGAACTGTTTATTTCTACAATTTATAGTCGACACAGGGAGTGTGTGACTCAAATCCAAAGCTGAAGTAACAACATCTGTGGGTTAAAATGAGGCTGAATTGAAAACTACGTCGAAGCTTCACGGCCCTAACGTTTGTCCGTGTGCTCGTTTGTTTGTTTGTGTGCACGTACATTCTCCCTGCTTCTTGATCTTAAGCGTCACCGTCTCGCCCGCCTGCTGCAGCAGACTGATGGCTTCACTCAGGGGTTTCCCCTTCAGGCTGTTACTGTTTATAGCCAGGATGCGATCACCAACGTGGATTGCACCGGTTCTGTATGAAGCGAAGAAACACACACACACACCAAAAAAATATTATCGCTGAAATATGGAAATAGTTCTATATGTAATACAAAAAACACATCATGTACATACAAAAAACACATCATGTACACCAATTTATATATAAATATATATGTATGTACATATGCATGTGTATTTTATATGTATGTATATGTATACACACATATATAAAATATATTTATGTGTAAATATATATTTATATATGTGTGTATACATATATAAAGTCAACTTTATTTCATAATAAAGTTGACATATTTTTGACATATTTAAATATATACAAATATATATCTAAATATATGTACATATATACATACACATATATATATTTATATACTACGTATAAAGAATATAGAATATTTTGACGTTCTATGTCAAAAAAACTATGACATTGTCGTTTACCTTTCGGCCAAACCTCCTTTGCTCAGCGACGAGATGATGATGGGATCGAATGGCTCCTCTGTGCCTGAGATGGTTATTCCCAGTGGGCCTCCGTATCTTTGCAGCTCCACCGTGTAGATGATGCTGCCGGAAACCTCTTGTTCATCTGATACAAATACAACAAGAGATTGTGAGGTTTCAGGAGTCATTCAGCAGCAGAGGTTTGAAACAAGAGAGAAACAGAGCGGTGGGAGAAAATAAAACCTGAGTTGTCTTCGTCTTTGCGGATTTTCAGTTTGACCAGCTCCTCACACTGCTGCAGGATCTGGACCGCCTCCTCCATCGAGCAGTTCTCCACACGAATGTTGTCAATTGCCAGCAGCTTGTCTCCGAGCTCCAGCGTCCCTGTTCTAAAAGAGGAGCCACTCATCGGTTGTTTGCCTGACAATTTCAGACTCAAACAGAACATTTTGGGAATCAATCATCTCACTTTCTTATCTACGATTCAATGTAAAAAAAAAAACATACCTATATAGATGACTGAACTGTGGAGCAGACACTGTCAGTATGTCAATATGACTAGGTTACTTTATACAGATGCTGATTTGACTGTTGTGAATGATATAAATATATATATATAAATATATAAGAAATATTGTTGACATCATAAGCTACCAATTAATGTCGACTCGACGTTCATTCCGCTAGAGTGGACATCAAAAAATCTGAAGTTGTGCAACCACTAATATATACGTATGTTATATATATATGCATACATATATTTTTTAAAGAGTTCACAATTGTGTCATTTGTTGTTGATAAATGACAACGTTTCTGTGACTCTCCACATTTCTCTTTGTAACGAAATGTACCAAACCCTTATGTCAGTGCCGAGGCTAAAGTGATCGACATACATTAAAAACGTTAAATATATTTACTCATATAATCGCAACATACTATATGTATATGTTATTATATTATATATTTATATATGTGATTAAATGCATGTAGCTCTATGACACAATATGATTCAATTCGTACAATATATGTTCACTACTACACACTGTAGAATTATATTTACATATATTTTTTTGAATTTTATTTTTATTGCTCATGATTTACTAGCACTCCCTTAGAGATCTATTAGTAGTTTTTGGTTTGTATGTGTGTGTGTTTGTGCGCGTGTGTCCACTCACCTGTGTGCAACGCTGCCCTTCTTAATGTCAGAGATGATCAGAGGATCACCTGGTTTCCTGTTGGACGGAGCTGCAGGGAAAACACAGCAGAGAATCCTGAGCTGGAAACTAAGTGGCAAAAACATCTAAAAGATGTGAAGTTTTCTTTAAATATGCAAAAAAAAAAAGAAAAATCAATGAATGTTTTTTTAAACTTACAGCTGATGGTGATTCCCAATTCTACACCAGGTTTTTTAGGAAGCTTCACATGGAACGTCCCGGAGCTGGGAATGACCGACTCTGAGAAGGTGATACAAGGAAGATACAAACCTGCTTTAAAAAGGTCTGTGATCTTTGCCTTAAATAACCAAACAACTTTATAATACAGAGTATCAACACTTTTTGGGGCCTGGGAGCTGCTATTCAAATGCCCAGGCCAGAGTGATCTACCTACATTGATAAATATATACTGTATATATATTTTATAATATATACTAAATGTATATTCATTCATATAAACCAAACACACTTTAGATATACACATATATACATTTATAATATATGTATATATATATATATATAGACATATATATATGTATATATATACACACATATATGTTGAGTTACTGATTAAGTGCATCTAGTTGTATGGCACAATATGATTTCATTTTTACAGTACATTGGTCAGTACTTTACACTATAGAATTATATTTCTAGTTAATGTTTTTTAAATGTAATTGCTCATGGTTTTATTTTCAATTAAATTCACCAAGCAGACCGGACTGAACACCCTAGTGGGCCGGTTTGGGACAGCGGGCCGTATGTTTGCAACCCCGGATCACCAGGCACTCCCTTTCAAATCGACTGG